ACTCTTCTAATTGCATCTTTCTCTCTTTGTGAGTTTTTCAGATTGAAATGAAGCTAAGGCGGAAATTCAACTGAAGAAACTCTGATTACTTCCATTCAACCTGAGGCTGATCCGCCTCCGACGCAGCCAACCCGCTTCAAGCCACTTTCCTTGATGCCCAATCATCTTCCAGCACTCTACTTAAAGCCACTCCAAATCATCTCTAGGCCTGCTCTTCAACAAGCGCAAGATCCATCGCTCCTATGTCGGACTTTGATTCAGACAACCCTCCTCCATCCCCTTCTCCACCATTGTAGTGAGCTCATCCGACTCCTCCTCGATGCTCCTTCAACCTCACCTCCAGTGTGTACTCCCTACAGACTTTCATGGAGTTCCCTGTCACTTTAAACGGTCCGGCAGAAGACCGCCACGTTGAGCCTGGTTCTGCCAGAGATTTCTTCCCAAAGGGGAGTTTTTTCTCTCCACAGTCGCTTCATGCTTGCTCTTCATGGACAGTTTATGCAAACTTTGTTCATTCAGTGACATCTAATTCAAGCATCACCCTGTATACCAGCCTCTATGGATTAACCAAACTTCACCTATCGAAACTCCACCACCAGTTTCAGGCCCGGGGGGAATATCCTTATTCTCATACATCAGTTTATCTGCATTAAAGTATAAACCAGCGTTTATGTTTCCTGCCGAGGCCTGAGCGCCAAAGTTCAAACTATTGTATCAATAAACTCTTCTAATTGCATCTTTCTCTCTTTGTGAGTTTTTCAGATTGAATTGGATATAGGTCTATAATTGACCAAGTCATCTGGGTCAAGAGACGGTTTCTTAAGCAGAGGTTTAATTACAGCAACCTTAAAAGCTTTAGGTACATATCCCTGTAACAGAGATAAATTAATCACATCTAAAATGGAGGAGGAGATCAAAGGGAATACCTCCTTAAATAACCTGGTTGGAACTGGATCTAACATACAAGTTGAAGGCTTAGATGAAGACAATAATTTTGCTAATTCAGAGAGTTCAACTGGATCAAAGCAGTCTAAACCCGGTTCAGATTCCATGACTACCTCAGGTACAATCGCGGATAGAGGAGTGCTTATGATCTTATTTTTAATAAGATCAATCTTATTTATAAAGAATCCCATAAAATCATTGCTGCTAAGAGCAGGTGGAATGGACGGTTCAACAGAGCTATGGCTCTGGGTGAGTTTGGCAACTGTATTAAAAAGAAATCTAGGATTATTCTTATTCTCCTCTATTAATGAGGAGAAGTATGCTGCTCTTGCTTTACAAAGGGTCCTCTTATACAGCAGTAAACCATTTTTCCAGACTAGGAAGGACTCCCGCAGGCCTGTGGAGCGATATTTTCTCTCCAGTTTCCTAGCATTTTTCTTCAAAGTACGCAGCTCTGCATTAAACCAAGGAGCAAGCTTTCTATTTTTAACGGTTTTCATTTTCAAAGGAGCTGCCTTGTCTAAGGCAATACGCAGAGAACTAGCAACCCCATCAACAAAATCATCAACCTGTGAAGGGGAATAAGCTAAGCTTTTGCACTCTGCAGCACTGCTCAGCGACACAGAGGAGAGAGAAAGTGAAGCAGATTCTTTAAAATGTATAACTGCACTATCTGATAATGATCTACTAAAATTGAACCTTCTTTTGGGGGAGGAGAACTCTGTTAAAGTAATCCTGAAGGTTATTAGAAAGTGGTCAGAGAGGACAGGGTTGTGAGGAAATACTGTTATTTCTTCACATTCTATGCCGTATGTCAGCACAAGATCCAAAGTATGAAGATGAGAATGTGTGGGACTATTCACATTTTGAACAAAGCCAATAGTGTCTAAGATAGCATTAAAGGCTGCTCTTAAGCTATCGCCTTCAATGTCAGCATGGATGTTAAAATCTCCCACTATGATGACCCTCTCTGGCCTTTTACATTTCTCTCTGCCCTTTTTACATTTCTCTCTGCCCTTTTTACATTTATCTCTGGCCTTTTTACATTTCTGTCTGCCCTTTTTACATTTCTCTCTGCCCTTTTTACATTTCTGTCTGCCCTTTTTACATTTCTCTCTGCCCTTTTTACATTTCTCTCTGGCCTTTTTACATTTCTCTCTGCCCTTTTTACATTTCTCTCTGCCCTTTTTACATTTCTCTCTGCCCTTTTTACATTTCTGTCTGCCCTTTTTACATTTATCTCTGCCCTTTTTACATTTCTCTCTGCCCTTTTTACATTTCTGTCTGCCCTTTTTACATTTCTCTCTGCCCTTTTTACATTTCTCTATGCCTTTTTACATTTCTCTCTGCCCTTTTTACATTTCTCTCTGGCCTTTTTACATTTCTCTCTGGCCTTTATACATTTCTGTCTGCCCTTTTTACATTTCTCTCTGGCCTTTTTACATTTTTCTCTGCCCTTTTTACATTTCTGTCTGCCCTTTTTACATTTCTCTCTGCCCTTTTTACATTTCTCTCTGCCCTTTTTACATTTCTCTCTGCCCTTTTTACATTTCTGTCTGCCCTTTTTACATTTCTCTCTGCCCTTTTTACATTTCTCTCTGCCCTTTTTACATTTCTCTATGCCCTTTTTACATTTCTCTCTTCCCTTTTTACATTTCTCTATGCCTTTTTACATTTCTCTCTGCCCTTTTTACATTTCTCTATGCCTTTTTACATTTCTCTCTGCCCTTTTTACATTTCTCTCTGCCCTTTTTACATTTCTGTCTGCCCTTTTTACATTTCTCTCTGCCCTTTTTACATTTCTCTCTGCCCTTTTTACATTTCTCTCTGCCCTTTTTACATTTCTCTATGCCCTTTTTACATTTCTCTCTGCCCTTTTTACATTTCTCTATGCCCTTTTTACATTTCTCTATGCCCTTTTTACATTTCTCTCTGCCCTTTTTACATTTCTCTCTGCCCTTTTTACATTTCTCTATGCCTTTTTACATTTCTCTCTGCCCTTTTTACATTTCTCTCTGCCCTTTTTACATTTCTCTCTGCCCTTTTTACATTTCTCTCTGCCCTTTTTACATTTCTCTATGCCCTTTTTACATTTCTGTCTGCCCTTTTTACATTTCTCTCTGCCCTTTTTACATTTCTCTCTGCCCTTTTTACATTTCTCTCTGCCCTTTTTACATTTCTCTATGCCCTTTTTACATTTCTCTCTGCCCTTTTTACATTTCTACCTCATTATGCAAATGAGGAGGGGGTGTGTCCTAGAGAGTCAACTTCTGCTCATTGGTTGGCTTGGCGGTCCATCTTCTTAACTCACAGAGCTCAGAGTAATAAGTTAAATGTTCTCTTTTCTGTTGCTGTTGTTCAATAAAAGTGCGTTTTAAGATCATTTGAGGCGAGAACCTTATACTTTTAAGCATCACCATATGGCCCATTCACAGATTTAATGCGTAATTTAAAAGAAAATGTGACGAACTTGAGAGGACCGTGGCAACCAGCGGAGCTCCGAAGCTGACGGCAGCCCATCTGCAGCGGCCCTCTCTCGGCATAGCCGTATGTGAAGCGTGTTGGTTAGCATTTTACTACATCGGTCGAATCTACAGGAGGAGAGTCTGATGTCGAGTCTGAAGTCATTAGAACTTGAGTAGGGACTTTGCCAAACTTTGCCAAATACAACAAAAAATCGCCATCATAGCCTGGCTATAGACCCGGCTGCCGTCAGCTTCGGAGCTCCGCTGGTTGCCACGGTCCTCTCAAGTTCGTCACATTTTCTTTTAAATTACGCATTAAATCTGTGAATGGGCCATATGGTGATGCTTAAAAGTATAATATTCTCGCCTCAAATGATCTTAAAACGTACTTTTATTGAATAACAGCAACAGAAAAGAGAACATTTAACTTAGTACTCAGAGCTCTGTGAGTTAAGAAGATGGACCGCCAAGCCAACCAATGAGCAGAAGTTGACTCTCTAGGACACGCCCCCTCCTCATTTGCATAATGAGATAGAAATGCATAGAGAAATGTAAAAAGGGCATAGAGAAATGTAAAAAGGGCAGAGAGAAATAAACAGCGGTGAAGAAATAACTAAGGTAAAAAAATACAGAGGAAGAATAAAACAGACAAAAATATTATAACATGCACATAAATAAATACTTAAAAATATAAGTAATTAAAAAATAAAGTTGAAGATTATAAAGGACAGAAAAATAAATAAGGTAAATATTACAAAGGCAAATAAATAAAGAAGCTAATTAAGAGTTATATACATTTATGTCTCACTTTTTTGTTATTTCTGTATTTATTTTTAAATATGGCAGAGTTGGTCCTTCATAAACCTCAGGCTTAGATAGAGATGCTATGAGGACAGCTGCAGCTCTGGGTTGGAGGTTTTTAGAGCATTTAACTGAAACTAAGAGGAGAAAATTGGGATTCTATGGGTTTGTGAGGCAAACATGGAAGCTTTAGACATTTGTGTTGGTTTAATTAGTCCTAAAATCCAACAGGAGATTATTCAACTAGACTGAACAATAATTATTTGACTTTTGAGCAAAACATGGACTAAAACTGGGACTAAATCAGGAGGATAAACTAGGAGTAAAGCTCAGTTAAAAAAAGCTCTAGATGTAGATTAAAAACAAGGTTAATTTAATCTGATCCTAAAATATCCAGATTAATAATTTAATCCAGCTGCTGTATAGTTCAATGAAACTAAATGTGTGAGGAGATGTGTGTCTGTAAAACAATCTGCAAATGTTTAAAACTACTGAGTGTAATTTGGTTTGGAAATTTGTAAAAAATTCACAAACCTGTATTCAGATTAACAAATGTTTAGTAAGATTTAGAAATGTGTCGATCAATCTGTACACAAACACAGAGACATTTATGTCTGAAGTATTTTCGCTTCAAGACCCAGAAATGCAGACAAATCATTGGTTACAAGTCCAGGTGGATTTTTGCTGCATTTCTGCCGTGTGAGATCCGTAAACACGTAGAGAGGATTTGGATTCCTTTAGGAAGGAAGTCCGGTTAGTTTGCTCCTATCCACTTCCTGGATGACTGACCTTTGACCTTCAGCTGGACCTGTTTCTTCATCAGGATCTTCCCCTCCCTGCTGTAGACGCTGCAGGTGTAGACGTTGCTGTCTCCATCTGTGGGGTGTCTCAGGGTCAGACTGAGGTCTCCGCTTCGCAGCAGGTCTTCCTTCATCTGGGTTCTGTTCTCGTAAAAAGGGTCCTGTTCCTCCGGATGATCAAAGCCGTCCTCATTCACATGGACCTTCCTCTGTCCTCTGTCCACCCACTGCACCGTAGCGTCCTCTGGAAGGGGGACAGTACTGTAGCACGGCAGCAGGACACACTCCACCCCTGAGTCCACCTCCACCTGTTGGACTGAGAGGACAACAGAGGACAGGATGAGTTGGACGGACGGCAGCAGCTCTGAGGACAACAGAGGACAGGATGAGTTGGACAGACGGCAGCAGCTCTGAGGACAACAGAGGACAGGATGAGTTGGACAGACAGCAGCAGCTCTGAGGACAACAGAGGACAGGATGAGTTGGACAGACGACAGCAGCTCTGAGGACAACAGAGGACAGGATGAGTTGGACAGACGACAGCAGCTCTGAGGACAACAGAGGACAGGATGAGTTGGACAGACGACAGCAGCTCTGAGGACAACAGAGGACAGGATGAGTTGGACAGACAGCAGCAGCTCTGAGGACAACAGAGGACAGGATGAGTTGGACAGACGACAGCAGCTCTGAGGACAACAGAGGACAGGATGAGTTGGACAGACGACAGCAGCTCTGAGGACAACAGAGGACAGGATGAGTTGGACAGACGGCAGCAGCTCTGAGGACAACAGAGGACAGGATTAGTTGGACAGACGACAGCAGCTCTGAGGACAACAGAGGACAGGATGAGTTGGACAGACGACAGGAGCTCTGAGGACAACAGAGGACAGGATGAGTTGGACAGACGACAGCAGCTCTGAGGACAACAGAGGACAGGATGAGTTGGACAGACGGCCGCAGCTCTGAGGACAACAGAGGACAGGATGAGTTGGACAGACAGCAGCAGCTCTGAGGACAACAGAGGACAGGATGAGTTGGACAGGGAGCGATGGCTGTAGACCGTCTACAGGATGAGAGGAAGAGTCGGTCCATGTAGAGACTAAACCGTCCTTTAGGGGAAAGAAGGACAGGAGCAGGAGACCCTCTGTCTCTGGGGACAGACGGTGCTTTATTGGTCCATAGGTGGATCAGGGATGTTTTATTAATCGATGATGACATCCTCACCTTTTCGCAAACCCTAATGGAAAAGTTAATAACTGTTTACCATTTATTCTGCATTTTCAGACTTCTAGGTATAACAGTTCTAGAGAAATGGGACTTCTGGAGTCACCAGCGTCTCCAAACCTGACAAATCGGACAAATTATTCCTAATTGTGCTTATTTCTCTACACAATAATTTTACCCCAAAAAATCACACTGGAGCATTTTGATGGACACAAAACAATTAAAATATATATTTTTCTAATCTAATTATCTACCAGCGACCAACGGTCATTTCATTGGTTAGAGATCCGAACATTACAGGTAGATAAAACCAATATCCGCCATGTTGTGAGGGGAGTGATGCGTAAAGATGGCGGCTGGGAGGAGCGCTTGTCGAGGGCGCCGAAAATCCTGTGATTGTCGGGCTGGAAGGTGAAGAAAACAAACATACCCAATATTCACCCGAAATGTTAGCGGAAGCTAGGGTAATTAGCATGACGGTTAACGTTAGCTATGAGGATCAAACTTTTCTGATGGTAAGAAACAGATTTGATGTGGAAATTTTATCATCATGGAAGTTTTTATTATCACAAATATGCTGGATAACTTTTTATTTCTGGACCCTTAAAGACTAATAGATTATAAACAATCTAAGATTAGATTTATTATACGGCCTCAGGTTCGCTTCAAAGGTAGGAAGACAAAGCTTCATTTAAAAAGATCGGATGCTGCTATATCTGTGTTAGTTGTGCTTTGGTGCTCGCTGTGCCTTTAAAATGATCCTGGTGGAGGAATCATGGAGAATCTGAGCTTTCTAACGATGTCTAACATGTTTATATTGCTAAAGGTTTAACCAGTGTTATATTGAAGCGTACTGCTGAGTTTGATGGAAATAGAGAAAACGGTGCGAACATGTGGGAGCTAATGAGCACCGTGTCACTTCCTGTGTGTCACTTCCTTTTTGTATCATTTCCTGTTTGTGTCACTTCCTTTTTGTATCATTTCCTGTTTGTATCATTTCCTGTTGTGTGTCACTTCCTGTTTGTGTTACTTCCTGTTTGTGTCACGTCCTGTCCGGCATCAGAACGTCCCTGCATGTCGGGGCGCTGCTCCGCCCACTGTAGAGCTAAACCTGCTAGATCAGCCAGTGTGAACCAGTGACGTTCATCAGACCCAGAGAGCTCTGCAGCACTGACCTTTGACCCGCAGCGTCACCTGGGTCTTCTGGACCCTCCCCCACCTGCTGTAGACGCAGCAGATGAAGGTCTTGCTGTCTCTGTCTGTGGGGTGTTCCAGGGTCAGACTGAGGTCTCTGGTCCTCAGCGCGTTGGTCTTCATCTTGGTTCTGTCCCGGTACTTCTGGTCCTGTTCACTGGGCTGATCAGAACCGTTCCTGAACACGTGGACCTTTTTGTCTCCTCTGTCCCTCCACTCCACTGTAGCGTCTCTATGGAGGCGGGCGGTGGTTCTGCAGGGCAGCAGGACGGACTCCACCCCTGAATCCACCTCCACCTGTGGGACTGAGAGGACAACATCTGGTCAGTGAGGAGCACCGTCCTCCAGATGGTTTCAGTTCCTCAGCCTCCTGGTTCTGACCTGGTTGATCCGTTCATGGATCCTCTGAGTTCTACGCTTTGTTTGTTCTTTAGTTTAGAGCGGCCACATGGGTTCACTGCAGATCAATCAGCAGATCAATTAGCAGATCAATCAGCAGATCAATTAGCAGATCAATCAGCAGATCAATCAGCAGATCAATCAGCAGATCAATCAGCAGATCAATCAGCAGATCAATTAGCAGATCAATCAGCAGATCAATCAGCAGATCAATCAGCAGATCAATCAGCAGATCAATCAGCAGATCAATTAGCAGATCAGTCAGCAGATCAATCAGCAGATCAATTAGCAGATCAGTCAGCAGATCAATCAGCAGATCAATTAGCAGATCAATCAGCAGATCAATCAGCAGATCAATTAGCAGATCAGTCAGCAGATCAATTAGCAGATCAGTCAGCAGATCAATTAGCAGATCAGTCAGCAGATCAATCAGCAGATCAATTAGCAGATCAATCAGCAGATCAATCAGCAGATCAATTAGCAGATCAATCAGCAGATCAATCAGCAGATCAGTCAGCAGATCAATTAGCAGATCAGTCAGCAGATCAATCAGCAGATCAATTAGCAGATCAATCAGCAGATCAATCAGCAGATCAATTAGCAGATCAATCAGCAGATCAATCAGCAGATCAATTAGCAGATCAATCAGCAGATCAATTAGCAGATCAATTAGCAGATCAATCAGCAGATCAATCAGTAGATCAATCAGCAGATCAATCAGCAGATCAATCAGCAGATCAATCAGCAGATCAATTAGCAGATCAGTCAGCAGATCAATCAGCAGATCAATTAGCAGATCAGTCAGCAGATCAATCAGCAGATCAATTAGCAGATCAGTCAGCAGATCAATCAGCAGATCAATCAGCGGATCAATCAGCAGATCAGTCAGCAGATCAATCAGCAGATCAATTAGCAGATCAATCAGCAGATCAATCAGCAGATCAATTAGCAGATCAATTAGCAGATCAATTAGCAGGTCAATCAGCAGATCAATCAGCAGATCAATTAGCAGATCAATTAGCAGATCAATCAGCAGATCAATTAGCAGATCAATTAGCAGATCAATCAGCAGATCAATCAGCAGATCAATCAGCAGATCAATTAGCAGATCAATTAGCAGATCAATCAGCAGATCAATCAGCAGATCAGTCAGCAGATCAATCAGCAGATCAATCAGCAGATCAATCAGCAGATCAATCAGCAGATCAATCAGCAGATCAATTAGCAGATCAATCAGCAGATCAATCAGCAGATCAATCAGCAGATCAATCAGCAGATCAATTAGCAGATCAATCAGTAGATCAATCAGCAGATCAATCAGCAGATCAATCAGCAGATCAATTAGCAGATCAATCAGCAGATCAATTAGCAGATCAATCAGCAGATCAATTAGCAGATCAATTAGCAGATCAGTCAGCAGATCAATCAGCAGATCAATTAGCAGATCAATCAGCAGATCAGTCAGCAGATCAATCAGCAGATCAATTAGCAGATCAGTCAGCAGATCAATTAGCAGATCAATCAGCAGATCAATCAGCAGATCAATCAGCAGATCAGTCAGCAGATCAATCAGCAGATCAATCAGTAGATCAATTAGCAGATCAATTAGCAGATCAATCAGCAGATCAATTAGCAGATCAATCAGCAGATCAATTAGCAGATCAATTAGCAGATCAATCAGCAGATCAATTAGCAGATCAATCAGCAGATCAATCAGCAGATCAATCAGCAGATCAGTCAGCAGATCAATCAGCAGATCAATCAGCAGATCAATTAGCAGATCAATTAGCAGATCAATCAGCAGATCAATCAGCAGATCAATTAGCAGATCAGTCAGCAGATCAATCAGCAGATCAATCAGCAGATCAATCAGCAGATCAATCAGCAGATCAATTAGCAGATCAGTCAGCAGATCAATCAGCAGATCAATCAGCAGATCAATCAGCAGATCAATTAGCAGATCAGTCAGCAGATCAATCAGCAGATCAATTAGCAGATCAATCAGCAGATCAGTCAGCAGATCAATCAGCAGATCAATTAGCAGATCAGTCAGCAGATCAATCAGCAGATCAATCAGCAGATCAATCAGCAGATCAATCAGCAGATCAATTAGCAGATCAATCAGCAGATCAATCAGCAGATCAATCAGCAGATCAGTCAGCAGATCAATCAGCAGATCAATTAGCAGATCAGTCAGTAGATCAATCAGCAGATCAATCAGCAGATCAATTAGCAGATCAATCAGCAGATCAATCAGCAGATCAATCAGCAGATCAATCAGCAGATCAATTAGCAGATCAGTCAGCAGATCAATCAGCAGATCAATCAGCAGATCAATCAGCAGATCAATTAGCAGATCAATCAGCAGATCAATCAGCAGATCAATCAGCAGATCAATCAGCAGATCAATTAGCAGATCAGTCAGCAGATCAATCAGCAGATCAGTCAGCAGATCAATCAGCAGATCAATCAGCAGATCAATTAGCAGATCAATCAGCAGATCAATCAGCAGATCAATGAGCAGATCAATCAGCAGATCAATCAGCAGATCAATCAGCAGATCAATTAGCAGATCAATCAGCAGATCAATCAGCAGATCAATCAGCAGATCAATTAGCAGATCAGTCAGCAGATCAATCAGCAGATCAATCAGCAGATCAATCAGCAGATCAATCAGCAGATCAATTAGCAGATCAAGTCAGCAGATCAATCAGCAGATCAATTCAGCAGATCAATCAGCAGATCAATCAGCAGATCAATCAGCAGATCAATCAGCAGATCATTCAGCAGATCAATCAGCAGATCAATTAGCAGATCAATCAGCAGATCAATCAGCAGATCAATCAGCAGATCAATCAGCAGATCAATCAGCAGATCAATCAGCAGATCAATCAGCAGATCAATCAGCAGATCAATCAGCAGATCAATCAGCAGATCAATTAGCAGATCAGTCAGCAGATCAATCAGCAGATCAATCAGCAGATCAATCAGCAGATCAATCAGCAGATCAATTAGCAGATCAATCAGCAGATCAATCAGCAGATCAATCAGCAGATCAATCAGCAGATCAATTAGCAGATCAATCAGCAGATCAATCAGCAGATCAATCAGCAGATCAATCAGCAGATCAATTAGCAGATCAATCAGCAGATCAATCAGCAGATCAATCAGCAGATCAATCAGCAGATCAATTAGCAGATCAATCAGCAGATCAATCAGCAGATCAGTCAGCAGATCAATCAGCAGATCAATCAGCAGATCAATCAGCAGATCAATCAGCAGATCAATCAGCAGATCAATTAGCAGATCAGTCAGCAGATCAATCAGCAGATCAATCAGCAGATCAATTAGCAGATCAATCAGCAGATCAATCAGCAGATCAATCAGCAGATCAATTAGCAGATCAATCAGCAGATCAATTAGCAGATCAATCAGCAGATCAATCAGCAGATCAATCAGCAGATCAATTAGCAGATCAATCAGCAGATCAATCAGCAGATCAATCAGCAGATCAATTAGCAGATCAGTCAGCAGATCAATCAGCAGATCAATCAGCAGATCAATCAGCAGATCAATCAGCAGATCAATCAGCAGATCAATTAGCAGATCAGTCAGCAGATCAATCAGCAGATCAATCAGCAGATCAATCAGCAGATCAATCAGCAGATCAATCAGCAGATCAATTAGCGGATCAATCAGCAGATCAATTAGCAGATCAATCAGCAGATCAATCAGTAGATCAATCAGCAGATCAATCAGTAGATCAATTAGCGGATCAATCAGCAGATCAATCAGCAGATCAATCAGCAGATCAATCAGCAGATCAATTAGCAGATCAATCAGCAGATCAATCAGCAGATCAATCAGCAGATCAATTAGCAGATCAGTCAGCAGATCAATCAGCAGATCAATCAGCAGATCAATTAGCAGATCAATCAGCAGATCAATCAGCAGATCAATCAGCAGATCAATTAGCAGATCAGTCAGCAGATCAATCAGCAGATCAATCAGCAGATCAATCAGCAGATCAATCAGCAGATCAATCAGCAGATCAATCAGCAGATCAATTAGCAGATCAATCAGCAGATCAATCAGCAGATCAATCAGCAGATCAATTAGCAGATCAGTCAGCAGATCAATCAGCAGATCAATCAGCAGATCAATTAGCAGATCAGTCAGCAGATCAATCAGCAGATCAGTCAGCAGATCAATCAGCAGATCAATTAGCAGATCAATCAGCAGATCAATCAGCAGATCAATCAGCAGATCAATCAGCAGATCAATCAGCAGATCAATCAGCAGATCAGTCAGCAGATCAATCAGCAGATCAATCAGCAGATCAATCAGTAGATCAATCAGCAGATCAATCAGCAAATCAATCAGCAGATCAGTCAGCAGATCAATCAGCAGATCAATCAGCAGATCAATCAGCAGATCAATCAGTAGATCAATCAGCAGATCAGTCAGCAGATCAATCAGCAGATCAATCAGCAGATCAATTAGCAGATCAATCAGCAGATCAATCAGCAGATCAATCAGCAAATCAATCAGCAGATCAATCAGCAGATCAATTAGCAGATCAGTCAGCAGATCAATCAGCAGATCAATCAGCAGATCAATTAGCAGATCAGTCAGCAGATCAGTCAGCAGATCAATCAGCAGATCAATTAGCAGATCAATCAGCAGATCAATCAGCAGATCAATCAGCAGATCAATTAGCAGATCAATCAGCAGATCAATCAGCAGATCAATCAGCAGATCAATCAGCAAATCAATCAGCAGATCAATCAGCAGATCAATTAGCAGATCAGTCAGCAGATCAATCAGCAGATCAATCAGCAGATCAATCAGCAGATCAATCAGCAGATCAATCAGCAGATCAATCAGCAAATCAATCAGCAGATCAGTCAGCAGATCAATCAGCAGATCAATCAGCAGATCAATCAGTAGATCAATCAGCAGATCAGTCAGCAGATCAATCAGCAGATCAATCAGCAGATCAATTAGCAGATCAATCAGCAGATCAATCAGCAGATCAATCAGCAAATCAATCAGCAGATCAATCAGCAGATCAATTAGCAGATCAGTCAGCAGATCAATCAGCAGATCAATCAGCAGATCAATTAGCAGATCAGTCAGCAGATCAATCAGCAGATCAGTCAGCAGATCAATCAGCAGATCAATTAGCAGATCAATCAGCAGATCAATCAGCAGATCAATCAGCAGATCAATTAGCAGATCAATCAGCAGATCAATCAGCAGATCAATCAGCAAATCAATCAGCAGATCAATCAGCAGATCAATCAGCAGATCAGTCAGCAGATCAATCAGCAGATCAATTAGCAGATCAATTAGCAGATCAATCAGCAGATCAATCAGCAGATCAATCAGCAGATCAATCAGCAGATCAATCAGCAGATCAATCAGCAGATCAATCAGCAGATCAATTAGCAGATCAGTCAGCAGATCAATCAGCAGATCAATCAGCAGATCAATTAGCAGATCAATCAGCAGATCAATCAGCAGATCAATCAGCAGATCAATTAGCAGATCAGTCAGCAGATCAATCAGCAGATCAATTAGCAGATCAATTAGCAGATCAATCAGCAGATCAATCAGCAGATCAGTCAGCAGATCAATCAGCAGATCAATTAGCAGATCAATTAGCAGATCAATCAGCAGATCAATCAGCAGATCAATCAGCAAATCAATCAGCAGATCAATCAGCAGATCAATCAGCAGATCAATTAGCAGATCAATCAGCAGATCAATTAGCAGATCAGTCAGCAGATCAATCAGCAGATCAATCAGCAGATCAATTAGCAGATCAATCAGCAGATCAATCAGCAGATCAATCAGCAAATCAATCAGCAGATCAATCAGCAGATCAATCAGCAAATCAATCAGCAGATCAATCAGCAGATCAATTAGCAGATCAGTCAGCAGATCAATCAGCAGATCAATCAGCAGATCAATCAGCAGATCAATCAGCAGATCAATTACAGGATCTATTAATTGATAGCATAGGCCACCCTAAATGACAGCCTTGCCACCCCAGCTGCCACCCCAGTTGGCGGTAGGGGTGGCGAGGCTTATAAATTATGGATCATTTGAGAATTACGGCCGCTAATATCCAATGTCGGACTGCAGTGAATGCAGCACGAGATGACAGAGAGTGACTGAGACTGATTGTTTTGAAAACCGAATGAGGCAAAGCGAGGGAGCCAGGGGTGATGGGGAGAGGAGACACGGGATGAAACAGGTAAAAACTGATTAACTATCTATAGAGAAATGAAATCATAATGAAAGCACAATGTTGCTAGCATAGCTGCAATGCTGATTTACAGTTGATAAAAATCAGGTTGCAGAACGTTATTTCTCTAACTATGATGTTAGTTAGGCCTGACGTCTCAGGCTCATAAAGAAATATTAACGGTTAACTATGACAGAAAAGAGACGATCAAGTTTGGTTGAACTCAAATCAAAACGCACAAAGGCATTGGATCTAAATAAAGTTGTGAAGCGTTTTGCTGAGCAACATGGAAATCACTGCATTCAGCTGTTATAGTCATGTTAACTTTATGTTCTGCTCTCTGGTGAGCCTTTACAGAGCTGCTACATTTTGTTTTGGCACCTGAGAAAATCTGATATTTCCTTTAACAAAACCAAAAGTGTTAAAAGTTAAAAATGTGATACTGGTGTAAATCCTGCTTAATATGAAGCAGTGTTGTTGTTTCTTTTTTTGTATATATAATATGAAACTATCCAGAAATGACCTGTATGAACCTACTCACAAGCAAAATGTATTTTTATGTTGCTTCTTTTCAGATTTGTGGAGATTTTGATGTAACATACAGAACCCGCCTTTTTGTTGATTTGTTGATACAGCAGTATGGAGGACCAACTCTGCCATATTTAAAAATAAATACAGAAATAAATAAATAAGCATACAATTAATTGCCACCAAAAATACAAACAACAAATAAATGTAAGTAGAAATTAAATTATACAGCCAGTCATAAAGGTATATAACTCTTTTTATTTCTTTGCCTTTTTAATATTTACCTTATTTATTTTTTTTGTCATTTATTATCTTCAACTTCATTTTTTCATTACTTATATTTTTAAGTATTTATTTATGTGCATGTTATCATATTTTTGTCTGTTTTATTCTTCCTTTGTATTTTTTTACCCTAGTTATTTCTTCGCCGCTATTTCTTTCTGCCTGCCCTTTTAACATTTCTGCCTGCCATTATCATATAATTTCTAATTACATTTATTTATTGATTGTATTTTTGGTGGCAATTAATTGTATGCTTATTTATTTATTGAGCATTTATTTATTTCTGTTTTTATTTTTAAATATGGCAGAGTTGGTCCTCCATATGCAGCTCTATCTACAGCAGATCTACATGCATGAAATGTCCCTTTCATGTTGCCTTAACTGCTGTATGTCAAGTTACTGAGGAACAAATGGGGTAAATGTGTGTTCAGAGTAAACATTACATAGATGTCCGGTACCTTGTTCGGGTGCCTTGACCCATTTATTTCTACTGTGTAGTTCTGCTCACTTTAGTCCAGCTCAGTCCATAGATCTCTAATGTTTTTCTTTCTATAGTTTCTTCTTGGTCAAATGCTGCAAAGCTGCCTCTCTGACAGTCAATCTCACACATCTGCGACTCAGCACCTGTGTCTCACCTTAATACCTTTCATGTCATAAGGCCCCTCTAGAAGTAGTGTTATCATTCTTCTATCTCCTATTAGGTGAGATCTCATTGTACGATGTATTATTAATATGAACTGTTTCACATGAAACACTAGTACTGTACAACTATTCCCAAACTGCGATAACTGTGATTAAATTCAGTGTAAACAAATGCCATATGTTGCCACCCCTAAAAAATTCCTGCCCCCCTCTTGCCACCCCATAAATATTTTTCTAGATCCGCCCCTGATTGATAGATTGGTTGATCAGTTAATTCTTCTTTTTCTCCTTTGATCTGGGTTTGAGTTAGAAGTTTGTTTTTTTTTTATCTCTGGCAGCTTTAAAGAGGCAACATTCTATTCTGTTTTATTCAGTTCTACTCCATTCTATTCTATTCTATTCTATTTTACACTATTCAGTTTTATTCTATTCTGTTTTATTCTATTCTGTTTTATTCTATTCTACTCCATTCTATTCTATTCTATTCCATTCTATTCTATTCTATTCTATTCTACACTATTCTGTTGTATTCTATTCTGTTGTATTCTATTCTGTTGTATTCTATTCTGTTCTATTCTGCAGTAAATCGCTGTAATCTGACGGTTGGGATCTTCAGCACTGACCTCTGACCCTGAGCTCCACCCGTCTCCTCATGAGGACGCGTCCGTTCCTGCTGTAGACGCTACAGCTGTAGACGTCTCTGTCCCTCTCCGTGGGACGCGTCAGAGTCAGACTCAGGTCTCTGCCCTTCAGGCCGCCGTCCTTCATGCTGGTTCTGTTTCTGTAGAACTGGCATTGGTCCTGATGCTGGTGACAACCGCCTTCCTTCACGTGGACGTTCCTGCCGGACAGGTCCCTCCACTCCACTGTGGCGTCTGCAGGCAGGTGGAGTTTGGTTCTGCAGGGCAGCAGGACAGACTCCGCCCCTGACTCCACCTCCACCTGTGGGACTGAGAGGACGACAGGACGGACTCTGAGTGGATAAATGTCCACCATGTTGGACTGTCTCCTGTGCGCAGAGACAGATCAGCAGCAGAGGTGACGGTTCTACCTTTGGTGCATCTCCTCCACAGCAGCAGTCCAACAACCAGAACCAGGCCCAGAACCAGGACAGCCAGCAGAACCTGGGCCACGGCTGGAAACGGGTTTGAACCTGTGAGGAGACATGAAGCAGAGGAACCCATCAGGGTCTGGAGATACAACAGAACCAGGACTCCAACCATCCAAGAGAGAGAGTATGATGAAAGAACAGGGGCGGTCTGCATCATGGCGAGGGACACGAGAACCAGAGGAGAGTGAGACATCATCATCATCACCAGATGATGAAGAAATGTGTTTGGACAGAGAGAAAAATTCATCTACTGACTGGAGACAGATTAACTGAGTTTGACCACTAGGGGGCTCCAAACCTTAAAGGATTATAGTTTTTTAGTCTCAATCATAACAAGGAACAAAGTATTTAAGCAAAATGAATCAAATAACAATAAAAAACAGATTAGAGAAACATCTGGGTAGAAGTTTGATTATTATTAGAAACAACCAAATCTGATGAAGATGACTGAAGGAGATTTTCTCTAAACAAACAGAAAATTGATTTTATTACCGGTACAAGTATTTAGAAAATGACTAAAACAGGATTTAGGAATAAATAAAACCTGCAGAGAAATAAAGTTAATATAAATAAAAAATGAATTTAATTTGGTCTAAATGAACCAAATGATCAAAGCAGCTGAATCACTTTCCTCTAAAATCTGTTTCTTTTTAAATGAGAAGTTTTAGGTTAGATTCTGGATCCTCCTGCCACATGGCAGCCTGCCCCTGAGCAAGGCACTGCCCTGATCATGGTTTCTAGGTTCTCCAGTGGTCCACCTATTGTTTGCATCAGAACTGGTTCAGAGGTCTCATTTGACCCGGGTTCTGGTTGTGGGATACCCACCTTTGACCTGCAGCTCCACGGCCTGCGGCGTGGATCCCGGGTCCGAGGTGGAGCAGGTGTAGGTCCCGCTGTCACAGACCTCAGGTCTCCTCAGGGTCAGGCTGTAGTCTTCTGTCAGCACAGCGTCCGGGTTCAGGGAGGTCCGGTTCTGGTACCGGCGGTTCTGGTCTTTGAGGAGGTCTGCAGACGAGCCGTTGGTCCAGATGTAGACCGTCGCAGGACTGAGGGCGGAGTTTCTCCATGTCACCGTCTCGCCCTTATATGGAGAGGAGGCCCTGCAGGGCAGCAGGACTGACTCCGCCCCCTCAGACACCTCCAGGACCAAAGCATTCTGGGAACCTGGGAGACAAACAGGACTCTGATATGAGCGAACCGGTCCAGGACCCAGGACCATTTGGGTCCAGATCAGACCCTCCTAGACGTTCAGAGACCTCAGCAGGTCCAGCTGCTCTGCTGTCCCTCCCAACGGGGAGCTAACGTACTGGTTCTGGTTCTATGGACACGGCCCAGTCTGCTAAATCTGGACCCGTTAACTGACCCGAATCTCTCGGTTCTTTAGAACAGAACCACCAAACTGGTTTGGGTCCAAATGTCTGAAGTGTTCTGGAGCAAAGAACCCAACCAGAATTTAAAGCTTTCCTTCTAACTGAACCGGTTTTAAAGTCCTGGTTCTGAACCCCAGAGACCGGTCCGTTCCAGAACCAGCAGGCAGAACCAAAGATTAGAACTTTAATCAGGTGGATCAACTGGACCTGATTAGAAAATAGTTCTAGGAGAAACAGAACCTCAGAGGGTCTGTTATTGTTCTGCTTGGCTAACAGAACCACGAACATTGGGTATTGTTATAGTTTGTCGCCATGGTAACGGAACCTGAGGCTGGGTTTCAGTGAAAGAAGAAAATGAATGAAGGAGCAGACAGTGGCAGGTCCAGATGTATCGGTTCTGGTAGAACGGACCCCAACGATCCATCAGAACCTCATTCTAGTCAACGGTACCAGGATGCTCAGACTCTGGACCCATTGGTTCCGTTTCTGAGGGTCTGAGGTCCGGTTCTTGACCGGGTTCTGGCCCAGTTGATGATTGGATCTTGGACCAAATTGGTGACCGGGTCAGTGACTGTTTTAACATTGCCTGTTGGTTTCCATGGAGACGAGGACAGATACCTGATCTCAGTCTCCAGGAGGTGTACAGCGGTCCGTCTCATCAATTGTCGATTGATCGATTGTATCTATGCTTCTTTTTCTATGTCTGCTTCTGTCTCCTTGAACCCCAGTGGGCCTCAGCAGATGGCCGCTCACACTGAGCCTGGTTCTGCTGGAGGTTTCTTCCTGTTCAAAGGGAGTTTTTCCTCTCCACTGTCGCTACAAGCATGCTTAGTGTGAGGGATTGCTGAAGAGTCAATGAGTCGATGCAATCAGCTGGTTTTCCTTAGATAGAAAACTTTGAATCAATCTGACTGGATGATCTGGTGAACTGGAAAGTGACCTGAGATGACATGATGTGAATTGGAGCTATAGAAATAAACTGAATAGAATAGAATTGAACCAGGACGTTTGGACCTGGTCCCTGAGGAGACAGATGTCAGACAGGGAAGCTGTTATAAAGCCAAGTAATGACTCTAGACTCCAAACCTGCAGAGCAGCAGGAAGCTGGAAGGAAAACTGAACGGAATTGATCCGGATTTAACGGTGAGATTCGATAAAAACAGAAACCATCAAAGGAAATAAACCATCTTTAGTTCAGCATCAGCAGAGAGTCTGAGCTGCAGGTCAGACTGGATCCCAGAGGAAGCAGAGAGAGGAAGCTGATCTTACCGTGCAGCAGGATCCCAAACACCACCAACATCTTCATCATCTTCCAGGAGCAACTAGGAGAACCTTTCAGAGCCCTGGAGGACATCAGCTCCCAGCAGCTGATCACCTCCTGACTCTCTGACAACACTTCACCGTCTCTACACCTCCAGGAAGCAGCAGCTCTCACCCACATGAGGAGGGAGGGAGGGAGGAGGGAGGAACTGATCTCTGCAGAGCTATGTAAATAGATTCAGTTTATTTCTATAGAACCAATTTACATACAGAGACAATTGAACCAGATCACCCAGTCAGGTTGGTTCTAAGGAACACCAGCTGACTGACTCAGCAGGGCTGTGGTCTCTCTATTGGGTTAGATTCTTCAGGATCTATAGAACTATAAACCTCAGTATCATCAGCATACCATCAGATTTTAATCCCATGATGTTTATATATAGAGAGAAAAGAAAGGGCTCTAGTTCTGATCCCTGTGGGACTCCGGGTTTAGGGAACATCCTGCTAGTTTTCTATTTCCTCTGTTAATGAAATCATTAGTTTAGGTTTGTATTTTAATTTCTCTTTTACGGACCTGCAGGATATTTTCCTCTGAGTTTCCTTATCTTCAGGCACAAAACTTTAAACCTGATGTTATCATGTGAACAAAGAGTCCTGCTGCTTTGACCTCCATGAACCTGAGGATGGATGGATGGATGGATGGATGGAAGGATGGATGATGGATGGATGGATGGATGGATGGATGGATGGATGATGGATGGATGGATGGATGGATGGATGGATGATGGATGATGGATGGATGGATGATGGATGGATGGATGGATGGATGGATGGATGGATGGATGGATGGATGGATGATGGATGGATGGATGGATGGATGGATGGATGGATGATGGATGATGGATGGATGGATGGATGGATGGATGGATGATGGATGATGGATGGATGGATGATGGATGGATGGATGGATGGATGGATGGATGGATGGATGGATGGATGGATGGATGATGGATGGATGGATGGATGGATGGATGATGGATGGATGGATGGATGGATGATGGATGGATGAATGGATGGATGGATGGATGGATGGATGGATGGATGGATGATGGATGGATGGATGGATGGATGGATGGATGATGGATGGATGGATGGATGATGGATGGATGGATGGATGGATGGATGGATGGATGGATGGATGGATGATGGATGGATGGATGATGGATGGATGGATGGATGGATGGATGGATGATGGATGGATGGATGGATGGATGGATGATGGATGGATGGATGGATGGATGGATGGATGGATGGATGATGGATGGATGGATGGATGGATGGATGGATGATGGATGGATGGATGGATGGATGGATGGATGGATGGATGGATGATGGATGGATGGATGGATGATGGATGGATGGATGGATGATGGATGATGGATGGATGGATGATGGATGGATGGATGGATGGATGATGGATGGATGATGGATGGATGATGGATGGATGGATGATGGATGGATGGATGGATGGATGGATGGATGATGGATGGATGGATGGATGGATGATGGATGGAAGGATGATGGATGGATGGATGGATGATGGATGGATGATGGATGATGGATGGATGGATGATGGATGGATGGATGGATGGATGGATGATGATGGATGGATGGATGATGGATGGATGATGGATGGATGGATGATGGATGGATGGATGGATGGATGGATGATGGATGGATGGATGGATGGATGGATGATGGATGGATGGATGGATGATGGATGGATGATGGATGGATGGATGGATGATGGATGGATGGATGATGGATGGATGGATGGATGGATGGATGATGGATGGATGGATGGATGATGGATGATGGATGGATGGATGATGGATGGATGGATGGATGATGGATGGATGATGGATGGATGATGGATGGATGGATGATGGATGGATGGATGGATGGATGGATGATGGATGGATGGATGGATGATGGATGGATGATGGATGGATGATGGATGGATGGATGGATGATGGATGGATGATGGATGGATGGATGGATGGATGGATGGATGATGGATGGATGGATGGATGGATGGATGGATGGATGATGGATGGATGATGGATGGATGGATGGATGATGGATGGATGATGGATGGATGGATGATGGATGGATGATGGATGGATGGATGATGGATGGATGATGGATGGATGGATGGATGGATGGATGATGGATGGATGGATGATGGATGGATGGATGGATGATGGATGGATGATGGATGGATGGATGATGGATGGATGATGGATGGATGGATGATGGATGGATGATGGATGGATGGATGGATGATGGGTGGATGGATGATGGATGATGGATGGATGGAAGGAGAACAGAGCAATGGCCGCCCTTTGCTGTGATGGTAGTGAGGAGTTAGCAGACCCTTTCAGGGGATGATTGGACCCGGCTCTGCTGCTCCAGAACCTTTGGACCCTGAGCCTTGGACCCTGAGCCTTGGACTCTGAGCCTTGGACTCTGAGCCTTGGACCCTGAGCCTTGGACTGTGAGCCTTGGACCCTGAGCCTTGGACTGTGAGCCTTGGACTCTGAGCCTTGGACCCTGAGTCTTGGACTGTGAGCCTTGGACCCTGAGCCTTGGACCCTGAGCCTTGGACCCTGAGCCTTGGACTCTGAGCCTTGGACCCTGAGCCTTGGACTGTGAGCCTTGGACACTGAGCCTTGGACTCTGAGCCTTGGACCCTGAGCCTTGGACTCTGAGCCTTGGACCCTGAGCCTTGGACTCTGAGCCTTGGACCCTGAGCCTTGGACTCTGAGCCTTGGACTCTGAGCCTTGGACCCTGAGCCTTGGACTCTGAGCCTTGGACCCTGAACCTTGGACTCTGAGCCTTGGACCCTGAACCTTGGACTCTGAGCCTTGGACTCTGAGCCTTGGACTGTGAGCCTTGGACCCTGAGCCTTGGACTGTGAGCCTTGGACACTGAGCCTTGGACTCTGAGCCTTGGACCCTGAGCCTTGGACTCTGAGCCTTGGACCCTGAGCCTTGGACTCTGAGCCTTGGACCCTGAGCCTTGGACTCGGAGCCTTGGACTCTGAGCCTTGGACTGTGAGCCTTGGACACTGAGCCTTGGACTCTGAGCCTTGGACCCTGAGCCTTGGACCCTGAGCCTTGGACTCTGAGCCTTGGACTCTGAGCCTTGGACCCTGAGCCTTGGACTCTGAGCCTTGGACTGTGAGCCTTGGACTCTGAGCCTTGGACTGTGAGCCTTGGACTGTGAGCCTTGGACTCTGAGCCTTGGACTCTGAGCCTTGGACCCTGAGCCTTGGACTCTGAGCCTTGGACCCTGAGCCTTGGACTCTGAGCCTTGGACCCTGAGCCTTGGACTGTGAGCCTTGGACTCTGAGCCTTGGACTCTGAGCCTTGGACCCTGAGCCTTGGACTCTGAGCGTTGGACCCTGAGCCTTGGACACTGAGCCTTGGACCCTGAGCCTTGGACTCTGAGCCTTGGACTCTGAGCCTTGGACCCTGAGCCTTGGACTCTGAGCCTTGGACTGTGAGCCTTGGACTCTGAGCCTTGGACCCTGAGTCTTGGACTGTGAGCCTTGGACTCTGAGCCTTGGACTCTGAGCCTTGGACCCTGAGCCTTGGACTGTGAGCCTTGGACTCTGAGCCTTGGACTCTGAGCCTTGGACTCTGAGCCTTGGACCCTGAGCCTTGGACCCTGAGCCTTGGACCCTGAGCCTTGGACTCTGAGCCTTGGACTGTGAGCCTTGGACTCTGAGCCTTGGACCCTGAGCCTTGGACCCTGAGCCTTGGACTGTGAGCCTTGGACCCTGAGGCTTGGACTCTGAGCCTTGGACCCTGAGCCTTGGACCCTGAGCCTTGGACTCTGAGTCTTGGACCCTGAGCCTTGGACTGTGAGCCTTGGACTCTGAGCCTTGGACCCTGAGCCTTGAACCCTGAGCCTTGGACTGTGAGCCTTGGACACTGAGCCTTGGACTCTGAGCCTTGGACCCTGAGCCTTGGACCCTGAGCCTTGGACTCTGAGCCTTGGACTCTGAGCCTTGGACCCTGAGCCTTGAACCCTGAGCCTTGGACTCTGAGCCTTGGACCCTGAGCCTTGGACCCTGAGCCTTGGACTGTGAGCCTTGGACCCTGAGCCTTGGACCCTGAGCCTTGGACTGTGAGCCTTGGACTCTGAGCCTTGGACTCTGAGCCTTGGACTCTGAGCCTTGGACCCTGAGCCTTGGACTGTGAGCCTTGGACCCTGAGCCTTGGACTGTGAGCCTTGGACTCTGAGCCTTGGACCCTGAGCCTTGGACTCTGAGCCTTGGACTGTGAGCCTTGGACTCTGAGCCTTGGACTGTGAGCCTTGGACTCTGAGCCTTGGACCGTGAGCTTTGGACCCTGAGCCTTGGACCCTGAGCCTTGGACTCTGAGCCTTGGTCTGTGAGCCTTGGACTGTGAGCCTTGGACCCTGAGCCTTGGACTCGGAGCCTTGGACTCTGAGCCTTGGACTCTGAGCCTTGGACTGTGAGCCTTGGACTCTGAGCCTTGGACCCTGAGCCTTGGACTCTGAGCGTTGGACCCTGAGCCTTGGACACTGAGCCTTGGACCCTGAGCCTTGGACTCTGAGCCTTGGACTCTGAGCCTTGGACCCTGAGCCTTGGACTCTGAGCCTTGGACTGTGAGCCTTGGACTCTGAGCCTTGGACCCTGAGACTTGGACTCTGAGCCTTGGACTCTGAGCCTTGGACTCTGAGCCTTGGACCCTGAGCCTTGGACTGTGAGCCTTGGACTCTGAGCCTTGGACTCTGAGCCTTGGACTCTGAGCCTTGGACCCTGAGCCTTGGACCCTGAGCCTTGGACCCTGAGCCTTGGACTCTGAGCCTTGGACTGTGAGCCTTGGACTCTGAGCCTTGGACCCTGAGCCTTGGACCCTGAGCCTTGGACTGTGAGCCTTGGACCCTGAGTCTTGGACTCTGAGCCTTGGACCCTGAGCCTTGGACCCTGAGCCTTGGACTCTGAGTCTTGGACCCTGAGCCTTGGACTGTGAGCCTTGGACTCTGAGCCTTGGACCCTGAGCCTTGAACCCTGAGCCTTGGACTGTGAGCCTTGGACACTGAGCCTTGGACTCTGAGCCTTGGACCCTGAGCCTTGGACCCTGAGCCTTGGACTCTGAGCCTTGGACTCTGAGCCTTGGACCCTGAGCCTTGAACCCTGAGCCTTGGACTCTGAGCCTTGGACCCTGAGCCTTGGACCCTGAGCCTTGGACTGTGAGCCTTGGACCCTGAGCCTTGGACCCTGAGCCTTGGACTGTGAGCCTTGGACTCTGAGCCTTGGACTCTGAGCCTTGGACTCTGAGCCTTGGACCCTGAGCCTTGGACTGTGAGCCTTGGACCCTGAGCCTTGGACTGTGAGCCTTGGACTCTGAGCCTTGGACCCTGAGCCTTGGACTCTGAGCCTTGGACTGTGAGCCTTGGACTCTGAGCCTTGGACTGTGAGCCTTGGACTCTGAGCCTTGGACCGTGAGCTTTGGACCCTGAGCCTTGGACCCTGAGCCTTGGACTCTGAGCCTTGGTCTGTGAGCCTTGGACTGTGAGCCTTGGACCCTGAGCCTTGGACTCGGAGCCTTGGACTCTGAGCCTTGGACTCTGAGCCTTGGACTGTGAGCCTTGGACTCTGAGCCTTGGACCCTGAGCCTTGGACTCTGAGCCTTGGACCCTGAGCCTTGGACTCTGAGCCTTGGACCCTGAGCCTTGGACCCTGAGCCTTGGACTCTGAGCCTTGGACTGTGAGCCTTGGACTCTGAGCCTTGGACCCTGAGTCTTGGACTGTGAGCCTTGGACCCTGAGCCTTGGACCCTGAGCCTTGGACCCTGAGCCTTGGACTCTGAGCCTTGGACCCTGAGCCTTGGACTCTGAGCCTTGGACCCTGAGCCTTGGACTCTGAGCCTTGGACCCTGAGCCTTGGACCCTGAGCCTTGGACCCTGAGCCTTGGACTCTGAGCCTTGGACTCTGAGCCTTGGACCCTGAGCCTTGGACCCTGAGCCTTGGACTCTGAGCCTTGGACCCTGAGCCTTGGACTCTGAGCCTTGGACTCTGAGCCTTGGACTCTGAGCCTTGGACCCTGAGCCTTGGACTCTGAGCCTTGGACTCTGAGCCTTGGACCCTGAGCCTTGGACTCTGAGCCTTGGACCCTGAGCCTTGGACCCTGAGCCTTGGACTCTGAGCCTTGGACTGTGAGCCTTGGACTGTGAGCCTTGGACTCTGAGCCTTGGACCCTGAGCCTTGGACTCTGAGCCTTGGACTCTGAGCCTTGGACTCTGAGCCTTGGACCCTGAGCCTTGGAATCTGAGCCTTGGACTCTGAGCCTTGGACTCTGAGCATTGGACCCTGAGCCTTGGACCCTGAGCATTGGACCCTGAGCCTTGGACTCTGAGCCTTGGACCCTGAGCCTTGGACTCTGAGCCTTGGACTCTGAACCTTGGACTCTGAGCCTTGGACCCTGAACCTTGGACTCTGAGCCTTGGACTGTGAGGACAGAGAGCAATGACTGAGTCTCTGCTGCCTTGCAGCTGCAGCTGCTGTTAGACTGGTTCTGTTGGACCCGGTCCAGACCAGTTCTAAGGAAAAGGTTGAGCGTTCTGTTTCCTCAGAGCAGCAACCGATCCGGTTTGATCAGATGAGGAATTGTTTGTTACATTCCTGCATAACGTCCTGAATCAAAACAGTGACTGGAATCATAATAACAGTGAAAACGATTTCATGTTTATAATGAAATGTTGGAGATGAAAGACATTCCCTTTCATCTCAGTGATGATGATGCTGACAGCGGAAAGTCCCGTCCTAACCTTCCTCCTCTCAGCAGCTTCAGCTCTGCCTGGAAGCACAGGAGGAAAAGTATTAATGCTGCAGTGGACTTCATGCTGCTGACCTTCCTGCTGTTATTGCTGAGGTCAAATGTTGGAGGAGGGGGCGGAGCTCTGATGCATCTAAAGGTTAGCTCTGCTCGCCATGACCGCCAGCATCTGCTGCTGCATCAGCGTAGCTTCCTTCCACTTCGTTCATGCTGAATATTTCCTGACTAGACTTGTTGCAAAGATACCAGGAAGAGATGAGAGAATGCGATTCTGATATAGATGGTAAATATAGGTAGTTAGAACAGACATAACATGCATGTAAATATAGATTTAGGTGATTAGAACAGACATGGATGTAGCTATAGCTCTATTGTTTCTGCAATGATCAAGTGCATTCTGGGTAATATGAAATACAGGTTCATCTAAAGGTTACCTCTAATGATGTTTGTCTGACAGATAGAGGAGAAAGCAGCAGATCTGGTTTATTTTTTATCTTTTTAATGAACAAATTCAAGATAGAATTCCAAAACAGCAAAAGTTCTATTGAACATATTTCTCCATAACGGTTCAAAAATACAATATAAACATAAACAGACAGTCAAATGAACAAAAGGAAACTAAAACAAGCACCACAGCTAGTTTAGCTAAAGTCTGCTGCTATAAAGATCGCCTTGTTTTGGTAATCCAAAATCCAGTTGACTTTGTTTGGAAACAAAGTTTGGAAACAAAGTTGTTTTTAACTTTTTAGGTGTTTGGAATGACTGTGACCTAGATGACTGAGAATTACTAACATTATAAACAGTTTGAACTGTTATTTAAAGAGTTTATTCCCAGGAATCTCTGCTCAGGAAAATAAACAACAGACAAAAGCCTGAGGAGGAAACAGAGATTTCCTTTACAATTTGGTTAAATAGAAATTTAAAAAAAAGTTCAACAGGAAGGGGAAGTTATAAAACATATAAGTCAGTCAGATGAATCAGTCTTTCAAAGTTAGTTTTTAAATCATAAATCAATAAATTACCCTGGACAGTTCATCAGTCCATCACAGAGAGACACCTGAGGACAGTTTAGAGACCAAAGCTCCATCTGATATCAGAGATCTGATTGTTCCTTATGTTCCTAACAGAGCACTTCGCTCTCAATCTGCAGGTTTACTAGTGGTTCCTAGAATTTCTAAAAGTAGAATGGGAGGCAGATCTTTTAGTTATCAGGCTCCTCTCCTGTGGAACCAACTACCAGTTTTAGTCCGTGAGGCAGACACCCTGTCTACTTTTAAGGCTAGGCTTAAAACTTTCCTTTTTGATAAAGCTTCTAGTTAGAGTGGCTCAGGTTATCCTGATCTATCTCTATAGTTCTGCTGCTATAGGCTTAGACTGCTGGAGGACATAGGGACCCCTTTTTCATCATTCTGCTTCATTCTATCTCTATTCTCCCACTCTGCAGAATCTGTTAGTTCAATCTCTAACGTTCTGCTCTCTCTGCTTTTTCTCATAGTAGCTTCATCTGGTCTGTTCCTGTTTGGCTGTGACTCCATCCTGGAGAGAAATATCAGCTGTGCTGCTGCCATCAACACCTTTGTTTCTAGATGTTGGAGCTTGGCCTGTTTTCCAGTGTAGTCCTGTTTCTCTGACTGTGACTAACTGGATGTGCTCTCTTCATCCTCTGACATGGGAGCTGGCTCGGAGCTCGTCTGCCTGGCTGTGTGTTTCCTGGACGGGGCCGCCTGTGGAGCTGGTTGACGGTTGCCTTTTGTATCTATGCTTCTTTTTCTATGTCTGCTTCTGTCTCCTTGAACCCCAGTGGGCCTCAGCAGATGGCTGCTCACACTGAGCCTGGTTCTGCTGGAGGTTTCTTCCTGTTCAAAGGGAGTTTTTCCTCTCCACTGTCGCTACAAGCATGCTTAGTGTGAGGGATTGCTGAAGAGTCAATGAGTCGATGCAATCAGCTGGTTTTCCTTAGATAGAAAACTTTGAATCAATCTGACTGGATGATCTGGTGAACTGGAAAGTGACCTGAGATGACGTGATATGAATTGATGCTATAGAAAGTATTGTGTTATATTAAGGCAGACAATAACTGAGAGCTTTATTTCCTGTTATTAAGCTGAAATGTTTTTATTAAACCAGATTATTGACACATGTTAGCAATACAGTAGGGATGTTAGCTCAGTTAATAACATGTTAAATAGAAAATATGACGGGTCACAGCCGGGGGCGTGGTCTCTGTTATAGGGCCAGCTCCAACTCTGCTTCGTTACCATGGAAACCTGGAAGGTGAAAGGTCATGCCATCTTCTCTCTCCATGCTGTCGTCTGACAGATGTTGAAGCTGGTTCTTCCTCTCCTCCTGGGCCCCGCTGTCATCTCCTGCTGTTAATCTCTGAGTGGCCCCGCCCACCTCCTCATCAGATACACCCCCTTCAGTTAAGTCTCCGCCCACTTTGTTGATTTGAGGAGTTTCTGTGTTTGGACTCAGGAGGTGGTGCAAAGTCTGCAGCATGACCTGAGGGGCAGAGACACAAGACAGGGGGAGTCATGTTAGGGCGAAGGACTCATGTTAGAGGAAAGGAGTCATGTTAGAGGGGAGGAGTCATGTTAGAGGAGTCATGTTAGAGGGAAGGAGTCATGTTAGAGGGAAGGAGTCATGTTAGAGGGAAGGAGTCATGTTAGAGGAGTCATGTTAGAGGGAAGGAGTCATGTTAGAGGGAAGGAGTCATGTTAGAGGGAAGGAGTCATGTTAGAGGGAAGGAGTCATGTTAGAGGAGAGGAGTCTTGTTAGAAGGTAGGAGTCATGTTTGAGGAGTCATGTTAGAGAGAAGGAGTCATGTTAGCGGGAAGGAGTCATGTTAGAGGGAAGGAGTCATGTTAGAGGAGTCATGTTAGAGGGAAGGAGTCATGTTAGAGGGAAGGAGTCATGTTAGAGAGGAGGATTCAAATTAGGGGAGGGGCCGTATTGGAGGGGAGGAGACCAATTAAGTGGGAAGGGTCATGTTTGAGCAGGGGTGGGGGGGTCGCATGTTAGAACAAAGGATTCCAATTAGGCGGGAGGAGCAATGTTGGAGGCGAGGAGCCAAGTTGGAAGGGGTGGTCCACTTATGGGGGAGGAGACATGTTAGAGGGGTGGAGTCCACTTAGGGGGGTGAGTGTCATGTTGGTCGGGGGAGGAGGAGGAGACAGTCACCTCATGTTGACCTTCTGGGCCCTCAGCAGGTCCTCCGTCTCTCAGACTGGTGCTGCTGGTGTTACTGGGAGGCAGCAGGAGCTCTGAGCTCTGAAACACAGACACAGGGAGGGTCATGTGACCTTCTGCCTGAAAGTGAACTTAGATAAACTTTGACATCTCACCTCCAGTGAGTCCACCTGCTCCACTGCCTACAGGAAATGACATCATCATTATTACAGTGATGTCAGACAGGTGATGGTTGTCCTCTGAGGACACCTGGGCCCGTTTCAGAAAGCTGGACCAGGCTATAAACCAGGATATTCCAGTTTATCCTGATTTATTCCAGTTTATTCCCAGATTAAGCAGCTCTGGTTGCTGGTTTCTGAGCATCACGGTCATTTCTCTGGATGACAGTCAGGTGACTAAACTCAGGTATCAGTGAACGGGCTGATATCACCTGTTCTAGAGAGAACCTCCTGATCATAACCAGGATTACTGCTCCCCACTCAGATTAGGATAATCCCACTTTCTGAATCGGGCCCTGGGGGTCGGACAGAGCGCGGCTCAGGGTGTGAGGGTGTTACCGTGTTCTCCAGCTGCTGTCGGTCCTTCAGCGGTTGGAACATCTGTGGAAACAGTCACATTTACTGCTAGTAGTGAAACATCTCAGTGATCGTAGATCTTTGATGCTGTCGGCTCTTCCTGTTTTTATTTAGAAAATAAATAAAAACTTGTAGGGATCTCTGCTGCTGGTATCAGTTCTCTCTGTTTGATTTTCTTCTTCCTGTTTTTATTATTTGCTCACTAAATGAAGTTTGATTGGCAGCTGGATCGGACCAATCAGAGATCCGATCAGGAGCTTCTGTTTCACTTCAATCTTTGGATCCATCATGATGTTTGGTGGTTCTGTCCGACCCGCTTCTTCCTGCAGGTAAAAGGTTCTGATCCGTCTGTTTCTCACTGACAGAACATGAACGCCCCGCGGAGTCGCTCCTCTACAGGCCCCACATCCAACATGGCTGCCTTATAACATCATCTGTTTCTCTCCTCCTCCTGTGGAGAACAGAACCAGGTTCTGGTCCGGTTTTATTCTCCAGGGAAGCAGGAAGTGATGGATTCCTTCGTTAAAGTGGGAGAACCTTTGCTTCTCTGTAATATTTGATGCTTATATTTCATTAAACACAGTAAATTGTCTCATTTTGTTTTTTTTTTTTTTTATATTTTCTTTGTTTGTTTTTTTTCTTTTGTTTGTTTGTCGTTATTATTAATAAAGTTTAGTTTTTTTAGCATGTCACCTGGACTTTAAGTAAATAAAGTTTTTATCGGTTTATTTTCTGGGATCAGAGCAAACAGGAAATCCTGCAGCTGTTCTAAATTTCAGAACCACGGTTTAACTAAGCTGTGGTTCTGGTTCTGACCTCCTAATCAGAACCTCTGACTGCTGCTGCTGCTGAGCATTCTGGGTAATGTAGTGATTACTTCCTGGACTGCTGCAGGGCGTGGATATTCACCTGAACTAGAACTGGACTGTTCTGGTTCTGGTTTGGTTCTTACCATGGGCTGCTGACTGGACTCTGAGGAGTCTGAAGAGGAAGATGAAGAGGAAGAGGAGGAGGAGGAAGATGAGGACGATGTCTTCTGCTGGGGGACAGGAGGCGTGCCAGTGACCTGCAGACACAGTGATTAGTTCTGCTACAGCAGCAGAGTGGATGTGAGGAGTGTTCTGGTTCTGGATGGATCTTTGGTTCTGTTCGTGACTCTGTGGACATTAGATGGACCCGCTGAGGGGACAGACTCTGCACCCAGATGGACCCGCTGAGGGGACAGACTCTGCACCCAGATGGACCCACTGAGGGGACAGACTCTGCACCCGGATGGACCCGCTGAGGGGACAGACTCTGCACCCAGATGGACCCGCTGAGGGGACAGACTCTGCACCCAGATGGACCCACTGAGGGGACAGACTCTGCACCCAGATGGACCCGCTGAGTGGACAGACTCTGCACCCGGATGGACCCGCTGAGGGGACAGACTCTGCACCCGGATGGACCTGCTGAGGGGACAGACTCGGCTCCAGACGTCCCGCCCCCCCCCACAGACGCTCCGCTGCTCCTCTCCCTAATTGTAGCTGACCGCAGACAGGAGGCCGGCTGGTTTGGTTTTATAACTGAAATTGCGGAAAACAACTTGTGAAGTTTGACCCGCTAGAAGAGCGAGGTGCGTGAGAACACTGGGACCCTTTTTCCAGCTGGATCTCCGCTCTTTTTGGCCCTCATGTCCCTCCGCCGTCGGACTAAACTCGCCCCCACTTCCTCGCCGCCTCGGCCGTATCTAGACCCACAGCGTGTAGCGCAGACCACGCTTCAATATTGAGCATAAATCAAAAATGTCTGCATCAAGCTCACTGCGACACACTGCTGTAAGAGTATAACCAGGAGGAACCTATCTACCTCTAAATCTCTCATTCAGCCTTCTGGAAACTCAATAGTTTGTTATTATTAATCAACACAGTTAAGGAACAGGTCAAATTATGGACTACCTATTATTGGTCTGAGGCCAAAAGAGAAAAACAATATTGTTAAACGTTTTAAATTAGATTGGTCAGTATTTTAGGAAAGTTAGTGGTGATATTGCTAAAAACAAAGGAGCCCAAAGGTCAGTGTGATCACCAGGATCTCTCACTTATGCCCAAACCTCCCTAATTCATTATCAGCAGAGGAGAACCAGGAGCTTTGGAACCTAGAAGCTGAATTAGATGATCTGTTAAACAAAAAGCCACGGAGGCCTTTGTTAGATCGAGAACAAGCTGGCTGGAAAAGGCTGAACAAAATTCACATTATTGTTTTAATCTTGAGAGACATCATTCAAAATGAACAGCATAAACAGTGTTAATTATGGTTGATGATTATCGATCTCTAGCTTCTGATTGGAGTGATTTTACCAAAAGTTGAACAGCTCCAAATTCTGTCAGAGAACAGCTGATAACTTTATGAAAGCCTTAACGGTTGAAAAGATTTCTAAAAGGTAAATGGAACTATGTGACATTGACTCTAAAATCTGGTAAAGAAGAACCATTTTTAGATAATTGGCGCCCAACTTGTAAACTAAACAATGATTATAAGATGTTTGCTACCATCTCAGCCAAAAGATTAAAAATGGAACTGGATTCAATAATGAGTGAGACTCAGTCTGACAGTCAGACACATAACCAACAATATCAGGCTAATATCAGACATCTTTCACTACCCAGGAATCGTCTGTGAAAATGGTTTTATGTTATTTTTAGACTTTTATAAGGCTTTTGATTCAGTGGAGCATCGATTCATTTTACAATCTTTGAAAAAGTTTGGCTTTGGCAGCTACTTTTACTCAGCTACAGTTCAATTAAACTAGTAGGTGGTACGTCCCTTAGACTCGGCTTATCATGAGGCATTGGGCTACGATGTCCTGCCTCCTCTTATCTTTTTCTTTTAGTAGCTCAGCTTCTATCTGATCACTTAAACGCTAGTTTAGTCAAACGTGTCTCCCTCCTTAACAAAACGTTACTTGTTTTTCAGCTAGCAGATGATGCTACACCTTTTTAAAAAGATGAGAAACAAATTTCTGTTGCTTTAGAGGGAATTGCTGAGTTTTTAAGGGCGTCCGGCCTGTTGCTGAATGGCAATGAAAGAATGAACCAGTTCTGCTCTCTATAACATTCCTATTAAAATGGAGGTGAGATATTCAGGCTTTTTACTGTTGAAAGTTCAACATAGAAGACTTGCCTCTAACTTTAATCCAATAACAGAAAAAACACAAAGAAAATTAACTCAGTGGCTCTAAAGGGATTTATCACTGAGAGGAAGAATCTTTGCTCACTAAAGCATCTCTGGCTTGAAATATGCAGCTTTAGCATTTAGACCATAAATGACTTTATATGGATTGATATAAAAATTATGGTCTCAGTTTTCTTGATTTTATACTTTAAATAATAGATTTAAAATCAATTGGCTCCAAATGGAACACCAACCTCTCCACATATTATCAGATCAGTGGCGTTTATTCTTTCCTAATGTGTAATTATGATGTTTGTAAAATCGCTCTGAAACTCTGCATTTTATGGCCAAGCCTTCTTTTCACCGTCGCTCATCTATAAGCACAATTTTTCACCACATAAATATCACATCTGGAATAACAAATATATTTAATATGAACACACATCAGTCTTTATGGGAAACTGGTTTCAGAAAACTATCGTACTTATAGATCATCTTTTTAATAACGAGGTCCTTCTTCTATCCTATGGGGAATTTCTGGCAGAGTGGGATATTGCTGTAACAGCCATGGAGTTCAGCAAAGTGTTCGGGGCAATTCCCTCTGGAGCAGTTGCTTTTTAAACATCAACAGAGGATTGATGCTCATAACTCATCTATCTGTCTCCCATTAATACGCCTGCAGGAAAGATCTGTTTATCTAGTTATTCCAGAAATAATAAGTCAGTAAGAACTTTATTTAAAAATGACTCCCGTGCTGCAGTGGCAATAAAACTCACTATAAACCCACTAAGACCCACCATAACCCACTCAGTCCCACTAATACTCACTATAAACTCACCCAGACCCACTATGAACCCACTAAGACCCACTAAGACCCACTCACACCCAGCATGGACCCAGTGACTCCCCAATGAGACCAAACCTAACCCCACTCAGACCCAATCGGACTCCAACCAGAACCACAGCAGCTCTCTGACCTCAGATGGTTCCGGTAAAGTTCTGATCAACAACAGGAACAGAACCAAGGTCCAAAGAACAAAAGAGAACATCTGAACTCAGTTCATATCTGAACGGTTAGTTCTGATGTTCTGAGGTCCAGTACCTGACATGTCCAAAGGCCTTCAGCCCGGTGTGACCTTTCTCTAGTTATAAGAACCAGACATGGTTCTGGTTCAGAACCAGACAGGGTTCTGGTTCAGACCACCTCCTGGGTTTACAGACTTACTGCGGTTTGGGCCAGCTGATCCTGCAGAACCTTCTGGAATGCTCCATGGTGTTCTGGTAGCTGTTCAAACACAAACACGGGTCACTGATCCGACTCGGTTCTGATGAACCCATAATGAGATCCATTCTTACAGGAGCTGCCTGGTTCTGATCCAGCAGGCTGATGAAGATCACAAACATCCACATGCTGGTCCAAACGGGTCGGTCCTGAAGCTTCAGATGGATGGTGGTTCTGGAGGTTTCTGAGTGGGTCTGCAGGTCCTGGTGTCTTATTGTGTGTTTGGCAGGAAGTGGGCTGTGGTCATGTGACCCACCGGTTCTGCCCCCCTCCTACAGCGACCCGCCCAGCAGCAACAATAACAACAGGCTGATTTACAGTCTGGGTCCGAGTTCTGGTTCTGGTTCTGCTGTTACTCCATCTCTGTGGAGGAAACCACAGCCCGCCTATCATTAGAACTCCACATTCCTGAAATAACTCCAGAACCGTCTCCTCTGGGCCAGAACTTCTTCATCCAGAACCATCTCCTCTGGGCCAGAACTTCTTTATCCAGAACCGTCTCCTCTGGGCCAGAACTTCTTCATCCAGAACCGTCTCCTCTGGACCAGAACCGTCTCTTCTGGGCCAGAACTTCTTCATCCAGCACCGTCTCCTCTGGGCCAGAACTTCTTCATCCAGAACCGCCTCCTCTGGGCCAGAACTTCTTCATCCAGAACCGCCTCCTCTGGGCCAGAACTTCTTCATCCAGAACCGTCTCCTCTGGGCCAGAACTTCTTCATCCAGCACCGTCTCCTCTGGGCCAGAACTTCTTCATCCAGAACCGCCTCCTCTGGGCCAGAACTTCTTCATCCAGCACCGTCTCCTCTGGGCCAGAACTTCTTCATCCAGAACCGCCTCCTCTGGGCCAGAACTTCTTCATCCAGAACCGTCTCTTCTGGGCCAGAACTTCTTCATCCAGAACCATCTCATCTGGGCCAGAACTTCTTCATCCAGAACCGTCTCTTCTGGGCCAGAACTTCTTCATCCAGCACCGTCTCCTCTGGGCCAGAACTTCTTCATCCAGAACCGCCTCCTCTGGGCCAGAACTTCTTCATCCAGCACCGTCTCCTCTGGGCCAGAACTTCTTCATCCAGAACCGCCTCCTCTGGGCCAGAACTTCTTCATCCAGAACTACCTCCTCTGGGCCAGAACTTCTTCATCCAGAACCATCTCCTCTGGGCCAGAACTTCTTCATCCAGAACCACCTCCTCTGGGCCAGAACTTCTTCATCCAGAACCATCTCCTCTGGGCCAGAACTTCATCCAGAACCACCTCCTCTGGGCCAGAACTTCTTCATCCAGAACTACCTCCTCTGGGCCAGAACTTCTTCATCCAGAACCATCTCCTCTGGGCCAGAACTTCTTCATCCAGAACCATCTCCTCTGGGCCAGAACTTCTTCATCCAGAACCGTCTCTTCTGGGCCAGAACTTCTTCATCCAGAACCATCTCCTCTGGGCCAGAACTTCTTCATCCAGAACCATCTCCTCTGGGCCAGAACTTCATCCAGAACCATCTCCTCTGGGCCAGAACTTCTTCATCCAGAACCGTCTCCTCTGGGCCAGAACTTCATCCAGAACCATCTCCTCTGGGCCAGAACTTCTTCATCCAGAACCACCTCCTCTGGGCCAGAACTTCTTCATCCAGAACCATCTCCTCTGGGCCAGAACTTCTTCATCCAGAACCATCTCCTCTGGGCCTGAACTTCTTCATCCAGAACCGTCTCTTCTGGGCCAGAACTTCTTCATCCAGAACCGTCTCTTCTGGGCCAGAACTTCTTCATCCAGAACCATCTCCTCTGGGCCAGAACTTCTTCATCCAGAACCATCTCCTCTGGGCCAGAACTTCATCCAGAACTACCTCCTCTGGGCCAGAACTTCTTCATCCAGAACCATCTCCTCTGGGCCAGAACTTCTTCATCCAGAACCATCTCCTCTGGGCCAGAACTTCTTCATCCAGAACCGTCTCTTCTGGGCCAGAACTTCTTCATCCAGAACCGTCTCCTCTGGGCCAGAACTTCTTCATCCAGAACCATCTCCTCTGGGCCAGAACTTCATCCAGAACTACCTCCTCTGGGCCAGAACTTCATCCAGAACTACCTCCTCTGGGCCAGAACTTCATCCAGAACCACCTCCTCTGGGCCAGAACTTCTTCATCCAGAACTACCTCCTCTGGGCCAGAACTTCTTCATCCAGAACCATCTCCTCTGGGCCAGAACTTCTTCATCCAGAACCATCTCCTCTGGGCCAGAACTTCTTCATCCAGAACCGTCTCTTCTGGGCCAGAACTTCTTCATCCAGAACCGTCTCCTCTGGGCCAGAACTTCTTCATCCAGAACCATCTCCTCTGGGCCAGAACTTCATCCAGAACTACCTCCTCTGGGCCAGAACTTCATCCAGAACTACCTCCTCTGGGCCAGAACTTCATCCAGAACCACCTCCTCTGGGCCAGAACTTCTTCATCCAGAACCACCTCCTCTGGGCCAGAACTTCATCCAGAACCATCTCCTCTGGGCCAGAACTTCATCCAGAACTACCTCCTCTGGGCCAGAACTTCATCCAGAACCATCTCCTCTGGGCCAGAACTTCAACCAGAACCACCTCCTCTGGGCCAGAACTTCTTCATCCAGAACCATCTCCTCTGGGCCAGAACTTCTTCATCCGGAACCATCTCCTCTGGGCCAGAACTTCTTCATCCAGAACCGTCTCTTCTGGGCCAGAACTTCTTCATCCAGAACCATCTCCTCTGGGCCAGAACTTCTTCATTCAGAACCGTCTCCTCTGGGCCAGAACTTCTTCATCCAGAACCATCTCCTCTGGGCCAGAACTTCTTCATCCAGAACCATCTCCTCTGGGCCAGAACTTCTTCATCCAGAACCGTCTCTTCTGGGCCAGAACTTCTTCATCCAGAACCATCTCCTCTGGGCCAGAACTTCTTCATTCAGAACCGTCTCCTCTGGGCCAGAACTTCTTCATCCAGAACCATCTCCTCTGGGCCAGAACTTCTTCATTCAGAACCGTCTCCTCTGGGCCAGAACTTCTTCATCCAGAACCATCTCCTCTGGGCCAGAACTTCTTCATCCAGAACCATCTCCTCTGGGCCAGAACTTCTTCATCCAGAACCGTCTCTTCTGGGCCAGAACGTCTTCATCCAGAACCATCTCCTCTGGGCCAGAACTTCTTCATCCAGAACCATCTCCTCTGGGCCAGAACTTCATCCAGAACCACCTCCTCTGGGCCAGAACTTCTTCATCCAGAACCATCTCCTCTGGGCCAGAACTTCTTCATCCAGAACCGTCTCTTCTGGGCCAGAACTTCTTCATCCAGAACCATCTCCTCTGGGCCAGAACTTCTTCATCCAGAACCACCTCCTCTGGGCCAGAACTTCATCCAGAACCATCTCCTCTGGGCCAGAACTTCTTCATCCAGAACCATCTCCTCTGGGCCAGAACTTCTTCATCCAGAACCGTCTCTTCTGGGCCAGAACTTCTTCATCCAGAACCATCTCCTCTGGGCCAGAACTTCTTCATCCAGAACCATCTCCTCTGGGCCAGAACTTCATCCAGAACCACCTCCTCTGGGCCAGAACTTCTTCATCCAGAACCATCTCCTCTGGGCCAGAACTTCATCCAGAACCACCTCCTCTGGGCCAGAACTTCTTTATCCAGAACCGTCTCCTCTGGGCCAGAACTTCATCCAGAACCACCTCCTCTGGGCCAGAACTTCTTCATCCAGAACCACCTCCTCTGGGCCAGAACTTCTTCATCCAGAACCATCTCCTCTGGGCCAGAACTTCATCCAGAACCACCTCCTCTGGGCCAGAACTTCATCCAGAACCACCTCCTCTGGGCCAGAACTTCATCCAGAACCACCTCCTCTGGGCCAGAACTTCTTCATCCAGAACCACCTCCTCTGGGCCAGAACTTCATCCAGAACCACCTCCTCTGGGCCAGAACTTCTTCATCCAGAACCATCTCCTCTGGGCCAGAACTTCTTCATCCCGAACCACCTCCTCTGGGCCAGAACTTCTTCATCCAGAACCATCTCCTCTGGGCCAGAACTTCTTCATCCAGAACTACCTCCTCTGGGCCAGAACTTCTTCATCCAGAACCATCTCCTCTGGGCCAGAACTTCTTCATCCAGAACCACCTCCTCTGGGCCAGAACTTCTTCATCCAGAACCACCTCCTCTGGGCCAGAACTTCTTCATCCAGAACCATCTCCTCTGGGCCAGAACTTCATCCAGAACCACCTCCTCTGGGCCAGAACTTCATCCAGAACCACCTCCTCTGGGCCAGAACTTCATCCAGAACCACCTCCTCTGGGCCAGAACTTCTTCATCCAGAACCACCTCCTCTGGGCCAGAACTTCATCCAGAACCACCTCCTCTGGGCCAGAACTTCTTCATCCAGAACCATCTCCTCTGGGCCAGAACTTCTTCATCCAGAACCACCTCCTCTGGGCCAGAACTTCTTCATCCAGAACCATCTCCTCTGGGCCAGAACTTCTTCATCCAGAACCACCTCCTCTGGGCCAGAACTTCTTCATCCAGAACCACCTCCTCTGGGCCAGAACTTCTTCATCCAGAACCATCTCCTCTGGGCCAGAACTTCATCCAGAACTACCTCCTCTGGGCCAGAACTTCATCCAGAACCATCTCCTCTGGGCCAGAACTTCTTCATCCAGAACTACCTCCTCTGGGCCAGAACTTCTTCATCCAGAACCATCTCCTCTGGGCCAGAACTTCTTCATCCAGAACCATCTCCTCTGGGCCAGAACTTCTTCATCCAGAACCGTCTCTTCTGGGCCAGAACTTCTTCATCCAGAACCGTCTCCTCTGGGCCAGAACTTCTTCATCCAGAACCATCTCCTCTGGGCCAGAACTTCATCCAGAACTACCTCCTCTGGGCCAGAACTTCATCCAGAACTACCTCCTCTGGGCCAGAACTTCATCCAGAACCACCTCCTCTGGGCCAGAACTTCTTCATCCAGAACCACCTCCTCTGGGCCAGAACTTCATCCAGAACCATCTCCTCTGGGCCAGAACTTCATCCAGAACTACCTCCTCTGGGCCAGAACTTCATCCAGAACCATCTCCTCTGGGCCAGAACTTCATCCAGAACCACCTCCTCTGGGCCAGAACTTCTTCATCCAGAACCATCTCCTCTGGGCCAGAACTTCTTCATCCGGAACCATCTCCTCTGGGCCAGAACTTCTTCATCCAGAACCGTCTCTTCTGGGCCAGAACTTCTTCATCCAGAACCATCTCCTCTGGGCCAGAACTTCTTCATTCAGAACCGTCTCCTCTGGGCCAGAACTTCTTCATCCAGAACCATCTCCTCTGGGCCAGAACTTCTTCATCCAGAACCATCTCCTCTGGGCCAGAACTTCTTCATCCAGAACCGTCTCTTCTGGGCCAGAACTTCTTCATCCAGAACCATCTCCTCTGGGCCAGAACTTCTTCATTCAGAACCGTCTCCTCTGGGCCAGAACTTCTTCATCCAGAACCATCTCCTCTGGGCCAGAACTTCTTCATTCAGAACCGTCTCCTCTGGGCCAGAACTTCTTCATCCAGAACCATCTCCTCTGGGCCAGAACGTCTTCATCCAGAACCATCTCCTCTGGGCCAGAACTTCTTCATCCAGAACCGTCTCTTCTGGGCCAGAACGTCTTCATCCAGAACCATCTCCTCTGGGCCAGAACTTCTTCATCCAGAACCATCTCCTCTGGGCCAGAACTTCATCCAGAACCACCTCCTCTGGGCCAGAACTTCTTCATCCAGAACCATCTCCTCTGGGCCAGAACTTCTTCATCCAGAACCGTCTCTTCTGGGCCAGAACTTCTTCATCCAGAACCATCTCCTCTGGGCCAGAACTTCTTCATCCAGAACCACCTCCTCTGGGCCAGAACTTCATCCAGAACCATCTCCTCTGGGCCAGAACTTCTTCATCCAGAACCATCTCCTCTGGGCCAGAACTTCTTCATCCAGAACCGTCTCTTCTGGGCCAGAACTTCTTCATCCAGAACCATCTCCTCTGGGCCAGAACTTCTTCATCCAGAACCATCTCCTCTGGGCCAGAACTTCATCCAGAACCACCTCCTCTGGGCCAGAACTTCTTCATCCAGAACCATCTCCTCTGGGCCAGAACTTCATCCAGAACCACCTCCTCTGGGCCAGAACTTCTTTATCCAGAACCGTCTCCTCTGGGCCAGAACTTCATCCAGAACCACCTCCTCTGGGCCAGAACTTCTTCATCCAGAACCACCTCCTCTGGGCCAGAACTTCTTCATCCAGAACCATCTCCTCTGGGCCAGAACTTCATCCAGAACCACCTCCTCTGGGCCAGAACTTCATCCAGAACCACCTCCTCTGGGCCAGAACTTCATCCAGAACCACCTCCTCTGGGCCAGAACTTCTTCATCCAGAACCACCTCCTCTGGGCCAGAACTTCATCCAGAACCACCTCCTCTGGGCCAGAACTTCTTCATCCAGAACCATCTCCTCTGGGCCAGAACTTCTTCATCCCGAACCACCTCCTCTGGGCCAGAACTTCTTCATCCAGAACCATCTCCTCTGGGCCAGAACTTCTTCATCCAGAACTACCTCCTCTGGGCCAGAACTTCTTCATCCAGAACCATCTCCTCTGGGCCAGAACTTCTTCATCCAGAACCACCTCCTCTGGGCCAGAACTTCTTCATCCAGAACCACCTCCTCTGGGCCAGAACTTCTTCATCCAGAACCATCTCCTCTGGGCCAGAACTTCATCCAGAACCACCTCCTCTGGGCCAGAACTTCATCCAGAACCACCTCCTCTGGGCCAGAACTTCATCCAGAACCACCTCCTCTGGGCCAGAACTTCTTCATCCAGAACCACCTCCTCTGGGCCAGAACTTCATCCAGAACCACCTCCTCTGGGCCAGAACTTCTTCATCCAGAACCATCTCCTCTGGGCCAGAACTTCTTCATCCAGAACCACCTCCTCTGGGCCAGAACTTCTTCATCCAGAACCACCTCCTCTGGGCCAGAACTTCTTCATCCAGAACCACCTCCTCTGGGCCAGAACTTCTTCATCCAGAACCACCTCCTCTGGGCCAGAACTTCTTCATCCAGAACCACCTCCTCTGGGCCAGAACTTCTTCATCCAGAACCACCTCCTCTGGGCCAGAACTTCTTCATCCAGAACCACCTCCTCTGGGCCAGAACTTCTTCATCCAGAACCACCTCCTCTGGGCCAGAACTTCTTCATCCAGAACCACCTCCTCTGGGCCAGAACTTCTTCATCCAGAACCACCTCCTCTGGGCCAGAACTTATTCTTTCCAGAACCGCCTCTTCTGAGCCAGAACTGGCCTCACCTGAACCCCCCACTGGCCTCACTGGAATCGCCCACCGGCCTCATTGGACCCCCCCACTGGCACCACCCACTGGCCACACTGGAACCAGCAACTCAGAAGAAATGTATTAGTTCAAAATAAAACATTCAAGAAAAGTGCAGCACAATGAGACGAGCAAATGTGTTCATCTCAATAATCAACCTGGTCAAATATACCATGTAATACGGTAAACAAGAGATTCATTTAAATCATAAGAATTACCAGATTATGATGGCTGAACAGGCTGCCATCATAGATCCGTTAATCTAGAAGGGCTGGTTCTGGAAGAGTTCTTTTCCTTCAGCTGACTTGATCAGATCAGAACCTTCAGCTGGATGATCTAAACGGATCAGAACCTTTAACCGGATGATGTAAATGGATCAGAACCTTTAACCGGATGATGTAAATGGATCAGAACCTTCAGCTGGATGATCTAAACAGATCAGAACCTTTATCCGGATGATGTAAATGGATCAGAACATTCTGGAAGGTGTAACTGGGTCATGAAAGCAGCCGTGAATCAGGTTTCGCTGCCTACAGAACCTTGAGGAGTTCTGATGGCCCACCAGAACCTCCTCTGTGTTTCCTTCCAGCAGAGCAGGCCCAGAATGTCCCCAGGGACGGGTCCAGAGGGACGGACGGGTCCAGAGGGACGGACCGGTAGAGCTGTGGTGAACCGACAGCAGCAGTAAACACGTTACCCAACCAGCAGCCACAGGAGGTCCGACAGAACCAGAGGCCGTTAATCACAGAGACAGAACAATGTTCTGACGGAGTCCAAAGAGGACCGGCTCACCGTTCTATATCGGTCCCACCGGGTCGGAGCTAAAAGCAGGCACTGGTACCAGAACCCCATCAGATCTCTAGATGTTCTCCCAGTTATAGCTCTATGTGTGCTCGCTCTAGTACAGGTAGATCTATGGTCGTCAGTCGGCTCATATTTGGGACCGAAGCTTGATTTTATTCTGGAATCTGATTCATGGATCCGGTTTCTGTTGTTAATGTTTAAAGTGTTAATAAAGGTTCGTTTCTGTTTGAATCCTGAAGGATGAATCATTATTTCATCACTGTGATGACAAACATCAGCTTCAACAGGAGGAGCAGATCTAAGATCAGGTGATCTATGCTCTCTGGGAACTCTGCCTGGCAACAGAACTGACCAATAGGAGGACAGCGTGTTACCGACCCTTATTAACTGCCTAGGATGTAAAGGATCCTGGAGAGGGAGGGGTCCGTGATGATGATGATGATGATGATGATGACTAATATTGTTGGTATTATCATCTTTATTATTATATTTATTTATTATCCGTATTTCATCTCAGGTTTACTGGAAGTTTTAATCTTCATGCTGAACGAAGAAAAGTTCTGAAAGGTTCTAACAGGAGTTCTCTACACAGGTTCTCTGGGTTCTGTAGGTCCGGTTCAGTGAGTCCAGATTGGACCCCCTGTCCCACACAGACACATATCAGGGTTTTAGTTCTATGGGTCCAACAGCAGAACAGAACCTAGAACATGCACACACAGATCTGGTCCAAAGTATCGCCGCCCTGGAAGGGCAACGTCCAAAGATGGATTTTCAGAACCAGGTTCCTCTGACTAATGTGGGGAGTGGACTGATGGACAGATGTTCACGTTGGACCTTCTGGGTGAGGGTTCTGGTTCAAGGTCAGGGGTCTGGGTCATGGTTCTGGTTCTAGGTCAGGGTTCTGGGTCAGGGTTCTGGTTCTAGGTCAGGGTTCTGGGTCAGGGTTCTGGTTCTAGGTCAGGATTCTGGGTCAGGGTTCTGGGTATAGGTCAGGGTTCTGGTTCTAGGTCAGGGTTCTGGGTCAGGGTTCTGGTTCTAGGTCAGGATTCTGGGTCAGGGTTCTGGGTATAGGTCAGGGTTCTGGTTCTAGGTCAGGGTTCTGGGTCAGGGTTCTGGTTCTAGGTCAGGGTTCTGGGTCAGGGTTCTGGTTCTAGGTCAGGGTTCTGGGTCAGGGTTCTGGGTATAGGTCAGGGTTCTGGGTCAGGGTTCTGGTTCTAGGTCAGGGTTCTGGGTCAGGGTTCTGGGTAAGGGTTCTGGGTAAGGGTTCTGGGTATAGGTCAGGGTTCTGGGTCAGGGTTCTGGGTATAGGTCAGGGTTCTGGGTCAGGGTTCTGGGTATAGGTCAGGGTTCTGGGTCAGGGTTCTGGGTTCAGGTCAGGGTTCTGGGTCAGGGTTCTGGGTCAGGGTTCTGGGTATAGGTCAGGGTTCTGGGTCAGGGTTCTGGGTATAGGGCAGGGTTCTGGGTCAGGGTTCTGGGTATAGTTCAGGGTTCTGGATCAGGGTTCTGGGTCAGGGTTCTGGGTATAGGTCAGGGTTCTGGGTCAGGGTTCTGGGTATAGGTCAGGGTTCTGGATCAGGGTTCTGGGTATAGGTCAGGGTTCTGGGTCAGGGTTCTGGGTCAGGGTTCTGGGTCAGGGTTCTGGGTCAGGGTTCTGGATCAGGGTTCTGGGTCAGAGTTCTGGTTGTGGGTCAGAGTGTTCTTGTTCTGGGTCAGGGTTCTGGTTGTGGATCAGGTTCTGGGTCCTGGGTCAGGGTCCTGGTTTCTACGTTCCTGGTTCTCGTTCTGGTTCAGGGTCCTGGTTAAGGGTCCAGGGTCTGGGTTCTGGTCCTGGCTCTGGTTCAGGGTCCTGGTTCAGGGTTCGGGGTCTGGGTTCTGGTCCTGGCTCTGGTTCTGGTTCAGGATTCTGGTTCTGGGGGAATGGTTTTCTAAGCTGGGAAGAAGCTGATTGGACAGCAGATGTAGATCCTCACAGATGCTCAGGTGATTAATGATGGATCTATGTCAGAACATCTAGAGTCTCTGTATCCATGGCGACCAGAGTCCCATCTGGACAGTGAGGCTCTGCTGTCCACTCCTTGTCTGTCTGTCCTCCAATGTCTCCTGATGAAGGTCCCTCCTCCTCCTCAGCTCCGTCGCTCCTTCTTGGGGTTTCGTGGCTTGTTGCCGAGCAACGCGTCCATCTCTGCAATGAGGGGCGGAGTCAGCTGGGTCAGGACCTGTCAGAGGAATAGGATGGAGTTACTGGTGGTGGACGCATCAGAACCACGGCTACAGTCAGAACCAGGTCCGCTCAGTGAGGTCATCAGAGCTGAGGACATGTTGCTTCTTTCTTCCCCGTTAACGACCTGTCCTCAGGGAGACAGGAGAGCGTTACATCACTTCCTGTGGTCTACAGACTCTGGATCTGAGCCGGACTTGGTTCTGACCGTGTCTACGCTGAGGTTCTGTTACCCTGAGAGAGCCCAGGTTCTCCAGAAGCTGCTCCGTGTTGGACACTCCCAGCAGGACCGAGCTGACGCCTTCACTGCGCAGACACCAGGCTGGAAGACAGAGACACACCCGTCTGTCTCTGCGGGACAAATAATCCGCCATCTTTGCTTCACTGATTAAAACCGTCTGGCCTTTGGTTTGTTTCTATAGTCTGGGCAAACTTCTCCAATAAATGAATAAAAACTGTCAAAGAGACTAAAAATATGTGATAAAAACCCTAAAAAATGTCTTTTATCCATAAAAACATTTAGAAGAAGAAAGGACACTGATTTATAACACCCTGATAATAACAGATAGAAACCAGCAGGTGGAGCCAGAGAGTGAAAAATCCTCCACTGCAGACCCACAGGTTTGTCTTTCAATCAGAGGCTTGGATTAAGTCGTCTACTAGATGTTATATTATGGATGCAAAGTAGGTTTCTGTCCCTTATCACTTGCCGTAGCCTAGCAGGTGTCGCGAGGTATGCTGGGACGGGGTTTGGAGGAAGTCTATATGGAGGCCGAGGTGATCGTTAAAATAGCTGAATAAAGTACAGCTGAACTCTCTGGATAGACGGCCTTTTTGCATGCAGAACATTACACTGGGGGGTTTATTTCTGTCCACATGCAGACTGCCCGGTTCTCTGGTCCAGATGCAGACCGCCCGGTTCTCTGGTCCAGATGCAGACTGCCCGGTTCTCTGGTTATAAGGAATTCTGTGGTAAAGGGCTCCCTGGTCCACATTCAATAAAACCATTTTCTGTCCGTCCAGAAGAGGAAGAGGAAGAGGAAGAGGAGCGCCTACCTATAGCCAGCTGAGCAGCAGTGCAGTTCAGCTGGTCGGCCAGCAGGTGGAGCTCTTTAATTTTGTTGAGCTGCTTCTTTCCCTCCTCGCTGTAGAGGCGCTCCTTCAGCCAGGAGTAGCCCTGAGGAGACAGGGACAGCTGTGAGGACATGATAGAGGGACAAAGCTGTGAGGACATGATAGAGGGACAAAGCTGGGAGGACATCACAGAGGGACAGAGCTGTGAGGACATCACAGAGGGACAAAGCTGTGAGGACATCACAGAGGGACAAAGCTGTGAGGACATCACAGAGGGACAGAGCTGGGAGGACATCACAGAGGGACAAAGCTGTGAGGACATCACAGAGGGACAGAGCTGGGAGGACATCACAGAGGGACAAAGCTGGGAGGACATCACAGAGGGACAGAGCTGGGAGGACATCATAGAGGAACACAGCTGTGAGGACATCACAGAGGGACAAAGCTGGGAGGACATCATAGAGGAACACAGCTGTGAGGACATCAGAGAGGGACACAGCTGTGAGGACATCAGAGAGGGACACAGCTGTGAGGACATCACTGGGCGGCATTTGAGGACAGAGACAGGTCTCCTTACAGTCTCTAGGTGAACTTAGGACGTAGTCCTACCTTCATGGCGGCTCTGGAGCTTTCGGGGACACCCTGGTTGTACTTCCCCGTCAGCAGACCGCAGGCTAGCGGAGACCAGGTCATGGCTCCCACTCCTGAGGACATTTGGACGTTATTCAGAACCAGAACTTGGACATCTGCTGTCCCTGTAGTCCTCAGCCTCACTGTCCACCAGAGGACGTAACATCACATTACACCAGGATTAACAGGTCCGAGTTAGTCTGTCCCAGCATCAGCTAAAGCTAGTTAGCAGTACGTACTGTTAGCTAGGACCAGCAAAATGGTTTTCTCCCTTCAATCGACTCAACAAAGACATTTAGTCCTGACTTGGATCTGACCCAGAACACCAGCCTTCAGACTGACCCTAACCTGCGACCCGGCTCAGTGGTACAATGACTGTCTACTGGCCTACTTCATGTTGTCAGACAGGTTCTATGTAGCGGGTGTCTGGCTGTTCCTACCGATCTTATGGTAGAGCTCAGGCAGCTGCAGCTCCACCTTGTCCCTCTGGAAGTAGTGGTACTCTGCCTGCTCACAGACCGGGGGGATCAGGTTGAACTGCCGGGCGATGGAGTACGCCTCCTGACCCCAAAGACACCCCAGGTGAGACTCGGCCAGCTGTAGGAGACACTGAAACACGTTCTACAGGTTCTACCATGATCTCCACCACGTTCCAGCGGGACGTCCCCCAATACATGGCCAAACCCTGCTCGATCACGAAGGTCATCGCACGCACGATCTCTGCAACACAACCAGAAGAGGGTGAGGCACAGCGGGGCGGAGGTCACAGTGGGTGGGTGTGATGTCTGACCCTCCATAGGCGCATTGACGTCACTCCTGTTGGCGAACACGATGTCCACATAGTCCAGCTGTAACCTGGAGAGAGACCCACGCAGACCTGCAGCACACACAGACCGCCACACGCTGTCATTCCCATCATAGCCACATAATCTAATAAACTGAGACAAAAACAGGTTATTTTCAGCCTCAAGGTCAGAACTGACGCGTCTAAACAGCTGTCATCAACTCTGACATGTGCTGAGCTTAGGTGGACCAGTCTTTGAGGACGGGACACAGCTAAGGAGAGACATGACTGACGCTAGCTGTGGTTACCCAGGTCCAAACACAGAGGAACCAGTTTATCTACAGCTAGGCTAACGGCGCAGATGATCTCAGGTAGAAATCTGTTTACTCTACAACAAGGACAAACTGGAGTCACTTAGACTTTAGCTCTTCCTCTCTTTGGTTCTTTCAGAAAAGGTCTACTGAAGGTTGGATGGAGGTTCAATAAAACGTCTGGTTAGGATGGGAGGAGGTCTATTGCAGGTCAATTGAAGTTGTTTCAGGTCTGTTAGAAGTCTGCTGGAGGCCCTCCGATGGCCTATTGCAGGTCTACAGGAGGTCTGCTGCAGGTCTACTGGGGGTCTGCTGCAATTTTACTGGAGGTCTGTTGCATTTCTACTGGAGGTCTGCTGCAGGTCTACCTCAGTTCTTCTGCAGGTCTACTGGGGGTCTGCTGCAGTTCTACTGGAGGTCTGTTGCATTTCTACTGGAGGTCTGCTGCAGGTCTACTGGAGTTCTTCTGCAGGTCTACTGGGGGTCTGCTGCAGGTCTACTGGAGTTCTTCTGCAGGTCTACTGGGGGTCTGCTGCAGGTCTACTGGAGTTCTTCTGCAGGTCTACTGGGGGTCTGCTGCAGGTCTACTGGAGTTCTTCTGCAGGTCTACTGGGGGTCTGCTGCAGTTCTACTGGAGGTCTGTTGCATTTCTACTGGAGGTCTGCTGCAGGTCTACCTCAGTTCTTCTGCAGGTCTACTGGGGGTCTGCTGCAGTTCTACTGGAGGTCTGTTGCATTTCTACTGCAGGTCTGCTGCAGGTCTACTGGAGTTCTTCTGCAGGTCTACTGGGGGTCTGCTGCAGTTCTACTGGAGGTCTGTTGCATTTCTACTGGAGGTCTGCTGCAGGTCTACCTCAGTTCTTCTGCAGGTCTACTGGGGGTCTGCTGCTGGTCTACTGGAGTTCTTCTGCAGGTCTACTGGGGGTCTGCTGCAGTTCTTCTGCAGGTCTGCTGCAGGTCTACTGGGGGTCTGCTGCAGGTCTACTGGAGTTCTTCTGCAGGTCTGCTGCAGTTCTTCTGCAGGTCTGCTGCAGGTCTACTGGGGGTCTGCTGCAGGTCTACTGGAGGTCTGCTGCAGGTCTACTGGGGGTCTGCTGCAGGTCTACCTCAGTTCTTCTGCAGGTCTACTGCAGTTCTTTTGCAGTTCTACTGGAGTTCTTCTGCAGGTCTACTGGGGGTCTGCTGCAGTTCTTCTGCAGGTCTGCTGGAGGTCTACTGCAGGTCTGCTGCAGTTCTTCTGCAGGTCTGCTGCAGGTCTACTGGGGGTCTGCTGCAGGTCTACTGGAGTTCTTCTGCAGGTCTACTGGGGGTCTGCTGCAGGTCTACTGGAGTTCTTCTGCAGGTCTACTGGGGGTCTGCTGCAGTTCTACTGGAGGTCTGTTGCATTTCTACTGGAGGTCTGCTGCAGGTCTACCTCAGTTCTTCTGCAGGTCTACTGGGGGTCTGCTGCTGGTCTACTGGAGTTCTTCTGCAGGTCTACTGGGGGTCTGCTGCAGTTCTTCTGCAGGTCTGCTGCAGGTCTACTGGGGGTCTGCTGCAGGTCTACTGGAGTTCTTCTGCAGGTCTGCTGCAGTTCTTCTGCAGGTCTGCTGCAGGTCTACTGGGGGTCTGCTGCAGGTCTACTGGAGGTCTGCTGCAGGTCTACTGGGGGTCTGCTGCAGGTCTACCTCAGTTCTTCTGCAGGTCTACTGCAGTTCTTTTGCAGTTCTACTGGAGTTCTTCTGCAGGTCTACTGGGGGTCTGCTGCAGTTCTTCTGCAGGTCTGCTGGAGGTCTACTGCAGGTCTGCTGCAGTTCTTCTGCAGGTCTGCTGCAGGTCTACTGGGGGTCTGCTGCAGGTCTACTGGAGTTCTTCTGCAGGTCTACTGGGGGTCTGCTGCAGGTCTACTGGAGTTCTTCTGCAGGTCTACTGGGGGTCTGCTGCAGTTCTACTGGAGGTCTGTTGCATTTCTACTAGAGGTCTGCTGCAGGTCTACCTCAGTTCTTCTGCAGGTCTACTGGGGGTCTGCTGCAGGTCTACTGGAGTTCTTCTGCAGGTCTACTGGGGGTCTGCTGCAGTTCTACTGGAGGTCTGTTGCATTTCTACTGCAGGTCTGCTGCAGGTCTACTGGAGTTCTTCTGCAGGTCTACTGGGGGTCTGCTGCAGTTCTACTGGAGGTCTGTTGCATTTCTACTAGAGGTCTGCTGCAGGTCTACCTCAGTTCTTCTGCAGGTCTACTGGGGGTCTGCTGCTGGTCTACTGGAGTTCTTCTGCAGGTCTACTGGGGGTCTGCTGCAGTTCTACTGGAGGTCTGTTGCATTTCTACTGGAGGTCTGCTGCAGGTCTACCTCAGTTCTTCTGCAGGTCTACTGCAGTTCTTTTGCAGGTCTACTGGAGTTCTTCTGCAGGTCTACTGGGGGTCTGCTGCAGTTCTTCTGCAGGTCTGCTGCAGGTCTACTGGGGGTCTGCTGCAGGTCTACTGGAGTTCTTCTGCAGGTCTGCTGCAGTTCTTCTGCAGGTCTGCTGCAGGTCTACTGGGGGTCTGCTGCAGGTCTACTGGAGGTCTGCTGCAGGTCTACTGGGGGTCTGCTGCAGGTCTACTGGAGGTCTGCTGCAGGTCTACTGGAGGTCTGTTGCATTTCTACTGGAGGTCTGCTGCAGGTCTACTGGAGGTCTGTTGCATTTCTACTGGAGGTCTGCTGCAGGTCTACCTCAGTTCTTCTGCAGGTCTACTGCAGTTCTTTTGCAGTTCTACTGGAGTTCTTCTGCAGGTCTACTGGGGGTCTGCTGCAGTTCTTCTGCAGGTCTGCTGGAGGTCTACTGCAGGTCTGCTGCAGTTCTTCTGCAGGTCTGCTGCAGGTCTACTGGGGGTCTGCTGCAGGTCTACTGGAGGTCTGCTGCAGGTCTACTGCAGTTCTTTTGCAGGTCTACTGGAGGTCTGCTGCAGCTCTTCTGGAGGTCTGGTGCAGGTCTACCTCAGTTCTTCTGCAGGTCTACTGGTGGTCTGCTGCAAGTCTACTGGTGGTCTGCTGCAGGTCTACTGGAGGTCTACTGGAGGTCTACTGGTGGTCTCCTCCATGTTGAGGGCAGGAGCTGCAGAGCGTTCCAGACAGATCAGAGCTGCTGGGCTGCAGCATCACAGATTGTTTGGGAGATAAATTTAGATCTTCAGTCTGAAGCCAGCAGAGCTTTCAGCAGCAGGACCATGATTGATGGAGCTCTGATGCCTTTGATGCAGTCAGGGTGAAACTGCTGAAACCTTCCACCACCTCCTACACTGAGGACACCCACCTTTCACTGAGGACACACACCTTCCACTGAGGACACCCACCTTCAACTGAAGACACCCACCCTCCACTGAGGACACCCACCTTCAACTGAGGACACCCACCCTCCACTGAGGACACCCACCTTCAACTGAGGACACCCACCCTCCATAGACCTAACCAACCTCCACAGAGATATCCATTCCAGATGTTCCAATCAGGTTGTTTCTTTCTGTTCTAATCAACCTGAGACGTAAACTGGCCTGATGCTGTCAGGGTCTCTGACCTCAAAGCATTGTGGGAAATGTAGGAAAAGCAGCTCTAAAATGAAATAAAATAGGCGAGTGGGTTGCTTACCTTCGATGATATGTTTCCGTGACAACCCCCGCTCTGTCTCCGCCCTGTAAACAAACAGACACGCTCAGCCCTGCGCCCCCTACAGGTCAAAGTGTTCATACAGTCAGTTCTAGTCAAAAATAACCACAGTCACACCTCCCTATAAGTAGTTTTGGTTGAACCCCCATTAGATCAACAGGTTCTGAACATCATCAGACCGTCTGGTGCCTACAGCTTTGCCACAATCAGTCACCTAAATCCTGCATTGATCAACTTTTTGCTGCTGGTTTTCTGGTTGCAGCTCCTGCAACGTGATTGGCTGACAGCGTTCTCATACTAGGGCAGGTGTTCCTAATAAAGTGGCCAATAATGAGGAGATAGAATAATTAGATTCAATACTCACTGTCCTCCCCAGTAGATCTTGGTGGTGACCACGTAACTGGACCTCCTGTCAGAGAAACAAGTCAGATTCCTGCAAGTTCTAATCAGTCACTTTGAGAAAGAGGAGGAGCTTAGAGCACCAAGAGGGGGGCAGACCCCAAAGAAGCTGCCAAGGGGGCAGACCCCCAACGAGCTGGGAAGGGGGCACCCGCCACCGAGCTAGGAAGCGGACAGACCCCCACTGAGCTGGGGAGATGGCAGACCTCAAATAAGCTGGGAATGGGGGCAGACCCCCACCGAGCTGCAAAGGGGGCAGACCCCAAAGAAGCTGGAAAGGGGGCAGACCCCAAAGAAGCTGGGAAGGGGGCAGACCCCACCACGCTGTGAAGGGGGCAGACCCCCACCGAGCTGCGAAGGGGGCAGACCCCCACCGAGCTGCGAAGGGGGCAGACCCCACCGAGCAGGTGGTCACTCAGAGTTTTAGGGCAAGCTGACTCCACCCACACTGACTCCCTCAGGTTGAAGCCCTCTCTGCTGTGCTGCAGCTCCCTCTGTCAGTAGCCATAGCAACCAGGGCCAGACAGCTGATTGGCTGTTCAGAGATCAGGGCCTGAGCTAAAGTTAGCCGTTCTTAGCATTAGCAGAGTTTCTAAGGTAATAAATGCAGACAGTCGGAGGAGAGGAGCAGTTTACCTCCATCCTTTCTTCTTCAGGATGTTCCCCAGAGTCCTTTCTGCTCTGAAAGATAATGATGATGTCATCAACCACTTTATTTATGCATAAAACACTGAAAATAGCTACTGTCCAGAAATAGATTGTTATTTGAGAATCAAAGGAGAATAAAAATAACCCGTTTATTCTCATCTATAAAGTTTATTTATGAAATGTGAAGCTTCTAGAAAGTCAACGTTCTTTGATCAGAGTGAAAAAATTAACTACAAAACAGCTGCTGATGAGACAGGGACAGGTTAAGGGACAGGGGAAGAGACTGGGATGGGGACAGAGACTGGGAAAGAGACAGGGACAGAGGCAGGGACTGGGTTGGGGACAGGGACACAGACAGAGGCAGGGACTGGGACAGAGACAGGGACAGAGGCAGAGACTGGGACAGGGACAGAGACTGGGGCAGAGACAGGGACTGGGTCTGAGGCTGGTTACAGGGACAGAGACTGGGACAGAGACAGAGACTGGGATAGAGACAGGTTAGAGGGACAGGGAGTGTTTACCTTCCTGATGCGTAAACCTCTGCCGTGTCGAACAGGTTCACCCCGCTGTCATAGGCCACCGTCATCACACTCTCTGCCATCTACACACACAGCCATCAGTTACCATGGTTACGTAATGTGTCCATACAGGACGCTTCCAGCATTCCCAGTAAATCCACTGACTGTCAGGACATTTACAGCACAGACCTCCTGACAGACAATAAACCAGTACTCTCTGGGTTCTATCCGGGACATCATGTCCTTGACCCGTCTCTGGGTTCTATCAGGGACATGTCATGTCCATGGCCAAGGCCAAGGCCTCCTACATACTCCTACCCCATTGAGGGACAGTTCACTAAAGGGACCTATTAGAACTCTTTAAGAACCCTTTCAGTCCACCTTAGTCTTTCTATTGTCTTCATTGACCTACCCTGCATCACGGTTCTTTCCTTGTCCACCGTCCTGAGGACACATCATTGCTCTGATGCTAACACTGAACGGAGATGTCTTCAGGTCCAACCTGAGAGACGTCTGGCATAACAGCCTTATATCCCCACTACCAACTTCTTCCAATGGATTCCAAGCTTTGGACCAGAAATGTACCCAGCTAACTAGCTATTCAGCTAACTAGCTAATCAGTTAACTAGCTAACCGGGTAACCAGCTAACCAGTTGACCAGATAACCAGCTAACCAACTGAACAGCTAACCAGGTAACCATCTGGGCAGCTAACTAGCTAACTAGCTAATCAGCTAACTATCTAACCAAGTAACCAGTTAGCTGGTTGACCAGCTAACCAGCTAACTAGGTAACCACCTAACCAGCTGACCAGCTAACCAGTTAACTGGCTAATCAGTTAACTTTCTAAACACCTGACCAGGTACCCAGCTAACCACTAACCAGCTAACCAGCTACCGCTGCGGTTGTTGGAGAAAATGGACGGCCGGTTAAAGGGAAGTTCCCTGGAGGAGGCCTCTGCCTCACCTTCCTCCACACACCGGCTCTCTGGAAACCATCAACCCCAGCCATTATTCTGCTGATTAAAGCTCCCAGAGACCATCAGAAGATGGCAGCCATGTTTTCTAACGTCAGAGGGTTAAAGCAGCCCTGCTCTCTGTCTGACAGGCACACTCAGTAGTTACCTCTTCAGAGATCTGAGAGCCGAAGGTCACCCAGGTTCCTGTGGAAACAGAGAGAATGGTTCTGGTTCCATATATATACATACTGCATACATGGTGTTGGTGTTCTGCAGGACTCACCCAGACCCAGGCAGGACACTCTGAGTCCAGACTTCCCCAGGTTCCTGTCAGAAAACCAGAACCATCGATGGATCAGTGACACAGCAGCAGAAAGTCAGGTTCTGTAAAACCGGACCCTCTGTACTGCATGGCGTTCCGTACATTAAAGCCAGCGGATCATCAGAACCTCTAAACCCATTGGAACCATCATCTGGGTTAAACATCCAGTCAGAGCCAGGATGGAGGGTTCTGTAAAACCGGACCCTGTGTTCTGCATGGTGTTCCGTACATTAAAGCCAGCGGATCATCAGAACCTCTAAACCCATTGGAACCATCATCAGAACCCTCCATCCAGTCAGAGCCAGGATGGAGGGTTCTGTAAAACCGGACCCTCTGTACTGCATGGTGTTCCGTACATCAAAGCCAGCGGATCATCAGAACCTCTAAACCCATTGGAACCATCATCAGAACCCTCCATCCAGTCAGAGCCAGGATGGAGGGTTCTGTAAAACCGGACCCTCTGTACTGCATGGTGTTCCGTACATCAAAGCCAGCGGATCATCAGAACCTCTAAACCCATTGGAACCATCATCAGGGTTAAACACCCAGTCAGAGCCAGGATGGAGGGTTCTGATTGGATGAGACAGGATTCTGATCCTAGCCTGTCATTAATCAGCCTCGGATCATTAACCGGGTCCAGATAGTGACCATCTGCCAACATGACCCGACCCGACAATCAGCGGCTTCAGAGAACCAGAGCTGCTAAGAATACCAGCGGCTGGCGGTTCTAAAGCTTCTTTGGACCTTCACACAACAAACAGATTCAGAAATAAAACATCAACTCTGCAGCGTCTGACTCAGAATCAGCAGATCTGGTCCAAGCCAAGGTTCTGCTGAGTTCTGCTACAGAAGATTTGGGTTCTGTTGAACATCTGGCCCAACAAAACTTTCCTGCCCTGGGTTCTACTTGTCCTGGTTCTACCCGTCCTGGTTCTACCTGTCCTGGTTTTTCCTGTCCTGGGTTCTACCCGTCCTGGTACTTCCTGTCCTGGTACTTCTTGTCATGGGTTCTACCCGTCCTGGTACTTCCTCTCCTGGTTCTACCCGTCCTGGTTCTACCCGTCCAAGTACTTCCTGTCCTGGTTCTAACCGTCCTGGTTCTAACCGTCTTGGTTTTAACCGTCCTGGTTCTACTCGTCCTGGTTCTACCCGTCCTGGTACTTCCTCTCCTGGTTCTACCCGTCCTGGTTCTACCCGTCCAAGTACTTCCTGTCCTGGTTCTAACCGTCCTGGTTCTAACCGTCTTGGTTATAACCGTCCTGGTTCTAACCGTCTTGGTTTTAACCGTCCTGGTTCTACCCGTCGTGGTACTTCCTTTCCTGGTTCTACCCGTCCTGGTTCTTCCTGTCCTGGTCCTTCCTGTCCTGGTTCTACCTGTCCTGGTTCATCCAGTCCTGGTTCATCCAGTCCTGGGTTCTACCTGTCCTGGGTTCTACCTGTTCTGGGTTCTTCCTGTTCTGGGTTCTATCTGTCCTGGTTCTACCCGCCCTGGTTCTTCCTGTCCTGGTTCTTCCTCCCCTGGTTCTTCCTGTCCTGGGTTCTACCTGTCCTGGTTCTACCCGCCCTGGTTCTTCCTGTCCTGGTTCTACCCGTCCTGGTACTTCCTCTCCTGGTTCTTCCTGTCCTGGGTTCTACCTGTCCTGGTTCTTCCTGTCCTGAGTTCTTCCTGTCCTGGTTCTACCTGCCCTGGTTCTTCCTGTCCTGGTTCTACCCGCCCTGGTACTTCCTCTCCTGGTTCTTCCTCCCCTGGTTCTTCCTGTCCTGGGTCCTACCTGTCCTGGTTCTACCCGCCCTGGTTCTTCCTTTCCTGGTTCTACCCGTCCTGCTTCTACCAGTACTGGTACTTCCTCGCCTGGTTCTTCCTGTCCTGGGTTCTACCTGTCCTGGGTTTCTACCTGTCCTGGGTTCTTCCTGTCCTGGGTTCTACCTGTCCTGGTTCTACCCGCCCTGGTTCTTCCTGTCCTGGTTCTACCCGTCCTGGTACTTCCTCTCCTGGTTCTTCCTGTCCTGGGTTCTACCTGTCCTGGTTCTTCCTGTCCTGAGTTCTTCCTGTCCTGGTTCTACCTGCCCTGGTTCTTCCTGTCCTGGTTCTACCCGCCCTGGTACTTCCTCTCCTGGTTCTTCCTCCCCTGGTTCTTCCTGTCCTGGGTCCTACCTGTCCTGGTTCTACCCGCCCTGGTTCTTCCTTTCCTGGTTCTACCCGTCCTGCTTCTACCAGTACTGGTACTTCCTCGCCTGGTTCTTCCTGTCCTGGTTCTACCTGTCCTGGGTTCTTCCTGTCCTGGTTCTTCCTGTCCTGGTTCTTCCTGTCCTGGGTTCTTCCTGTCCTAGTTCTTCCTGTCCTGGTTTCTACCTGTCCTGGTTCCATGTCTTGGTCTCAGAAGCGGACTGGTTCTGCTCAGAAGGACCTGGGATCAGGATGGATGATCTAGGCATCAGTAATGGATCTGGTTCTGATTGAGGCTCCATCACTTTCTGTTATCGCCTCATTAGGACTTGATTGATTCCGGATCAAAGAACCTGATTGGTCCAACGCACCAACACAGCCTCTGTCTCACCTGTACTTCATGTTGCTATGACGACCGAGGGCCTCCTTCATGTGGGCGTGGCCTAACAGTGTGGTCCTGGCCACCGGCTCCACCCTGACCTTTGCCTGACAGGCGAGGGCGCTGCTGGTGTTGGCCGCAGCTCGCCGCTCCTTCAGCTGGTGCTCGCTGGCACCCCCCCCTCCGCCGCCGCCCCCGCCCCCTCCCATATTACAAGCTATAGACACCTGCATCCTGGTTGCTATGGAGACGGCAGTCTCTAAGGTGAGAGGGCATGAAGGGGACGGCAACTTTCAGTCCATCTGTTGGTCAGACCAACAAGTTTCTGTGAGGTAGAGACATCCTGACGTCCAGCACGGAGGATGAGGACGAGGTGATGAAGAGCGTCCGTCCACAGGAGGAGGAAGGAGGACCCAGGGGGGTATAGCTCTGACTGAAGGAGTGAATCCTCAGAGTGAGTGTTTGTCCTCTGGACTGAGCTGAGAGACGAGGCAGAGGCAGCTCCTCCCCCTCCTCCCCCCTCCTCCCCTCCACTGGCTGAGCTGGGACACTCTGAGCGAGCGAGCATCCCACAGACAGGGAGAGAGAGGCAGTAAACAGCAGCTGATCATCACTGTCAGAATAACTACTGGAAGAATGCTGGCTTTGATCACATGACCGAGCTGGCCAATCAGAGAGCAGCTCCAGGTTTACACAGAGCCAGAGCCTGATGCCTGCAAGGCAAGTTCAGGGTCAGAAAGACCCACGTCCTGCAGGAGCCTGGATCAGAACACATCCAGCTTCTAGCAGAACCGGGTCCAGGTCTGATGGACTCACACAGAACCGGGTCCAGGTCCGATGGACTCACACAGAACCGGGTCCAGGTCTGATGGACTCACACAGAACCGGGTCCAGGTCCGATGGACTCACACAGAACCGGGTCCAGGTCCGATTGACTCAAACAGAACCGGGTCCAGGTCTGATGGACTCACACAGAACCGGGCTCAGGTCCGATGGACTCACACGGAGCCGGGCTCAGGTCCGATGGACTCAAACAGAACCAGATCCAGGTCCGATGGACTCACACGGAACCGGGCTCAGGTCCGATGGACTCACATGGAACCGGGCTCAGGTCTGATGGAATCACACAGAACCAGGTCCAGGTCCGATGGACTCACATGGAACCGGGTCCAGGACCAATGGACTCACACAGAACCGGGCTCAGGTCCAATGGACTCGCACAGAACTGGGCTCAGGTCTGATGGAATCACACAGAACCGGGTCCAGGTCCAATGGGCTCACACAGAACCGGGCTCAGGTCCAATGGACTCGCACAGAACTGGGCTCAGGTCTGATGGAATCACACAGAACCGGGTCCAGGTCCAATGGGCTCACACAGAACCGGGCTCAGGTCCAATGGACTCACACAGAACCGGGTCCAGGTCCGATGGACTCACACGGAACTGGGCTCAGGTCCGATGGACTCACACAGAACCGGGTCCAGGTCCAATGGACTCACACAGAACCAGGTCCAGGTCCGATGGACTCAAACAGAACCGGGCTCGGGTCTGATGGACTCACACAGAACCGGGTCCAGCTCCGATGGACTCAAACAGAACCGGGCTCGGGTCTGATGGACTCACACAGAACCGGGTCCAGGTCCGATGGACTCAAACAGAACCGGGCTCGGGTCTGATGGACTCACACAGAACCGGGTCCAGGTACGATTGACTCAAACAGAACTGGATCCAGGTCTGATGGAATCACACAGAACCAGGTCCAAGTACGATGGACTCACACAGAACCGATGGACCTCCAAAGAACCGGTCCATGTTGGATCTTCACGTCTCTTTACAGACCTGGTCCATTTCATCAACAGGAACCCGTTAGATGTTGGTTTTTTAGCAGAGTCCAGCCCCTCTCAGGAGATCCAGTATGGCCCGGTTCTGGAGTGGTTCTGCTCAGCTCTTCACATGCATGAAGCGACAGCAGAGAGGAACACCTCCCTCCAACAGGAAGGAACCTCAGAACCAGTGAACTCCACTCTCAGAGGTTCTGTAGAACCTCCAGGCAGCGCCACCACTGGACCTCCATGTCTGTTTACGTTGAGGACCGTTGGTCGTTGCCATGGTGACCATGCTCTCTGACTGCAGCAGGAACCAGAACATCCATCCACACTGCTGGGTCCAAACCAGCAGCATCCAACGACCCGACCCGTGTTCTGATCCGGTCAGTTACCATCTGATCATTAGAGAGGAGAGCTCCATTTATCAGGAAGAACCAGAACCAGAACCAGAACCGGGCCCAATGTGTCTGGATTAAAACCGGACCAACAGAGGGGCTGAAGAACTACAGAACCACACAGAGGGTCCAGTGGGTCACACCGTATGGACCAGAACTACCCGGTTCTGTTCTGTTCTCACGATAAAGACCCTCCCCCACTCTTCCTCCTCTGAATGGGCTTGAGCGTCAGAGGGCGGGACTCTGAGGCGCCTGGAGCGCCCCTCTGATGGCGCGCCGCGCTGATGGAGTGCCGCCCTGATGGAGCGCCAGTCTGATGGAGCGCCGCCCTGATGGAGCGCCACTCTGATGGAGCGCCAGTCTGATGGAGCGCCAGTCTGATGGAGCGCCGCCCTGATGGAGCGCCACTCTGATGTAGCGCCAGTCTGATGGAGCGCCGCCCTGATGGAGCGCCACTCTGATGGAGCGCCACTCTGATGGAGCGCCGCCCTGATGGAGCGCCACTCTGATGGAGCGCCAGTCTGATGGAGCGCCGCCCTGATGGAGCGCCAGTCTGATGGAGCGCCGCCCTGATGGAGCGCCACTCTGATGGAGCGCCACTCTGATGGAGCGCCGCCCTGATGGAGCGCCACTCTGATGGAGCGCCACTCTGATCCTGCCAGTCAGACCTCACACACAGAACTGGGTGTCACAGTCAGAACCGGACTTTAGACTCTGAACCGGGCCTGAAAAAACAGAACCAGACCTCCCAGTCAGGCTCATAGCCTGGCCCGGCCATCAGGACCAGATTCATGGGAGCTTATTTTAGATCCCTGCTGCTTTGTTGTCTATTCTGGGCCAGGAAGAACCCAAAGACTCGGGCCTCTTTCAGAACCAAAATAACTCGGCCCACCATCAGAGGACGTCTCTGAATCTGCAGCGGGTTCTAGCGGGCCAAGCAGATCAGGAGATGGCCTAAAAGCAGACATGTTCCCTCCTGTCTGTGACCCGTTCAGACTGGTTCCATACAGAACCGGTTCTGTTACACATGAGCCAAAGCTGTCCTCTACAGACACAGTCTCTGAATGAGTCTGTGCTGTCCTCAGATGATCCTGGTGGAACCTTCAGAACCCAGTCTGGGAGCCGCCCTGACCCAGTTTCTGGACCAGAACATACAGAACCAGAACCAGGTTAGAACCCTGTGTGAGACAGATATACGGTTATCTGCTTTTCGTTTCTTGGACTGGTCCAGGGGAGAACCCTGGGCTGGGTAGTGGTCCCAGAACCCTCAGCATGATGCTGCCCCCTCGATGCTACAGTGCTTTATCAGTGAAAACCATCCTTATTCTCCCAGCATGCATTGCTGGGTTCTGCTAGGTGACACTGGACCAGATGGCCGGGATGTTCTCTGAGCTCCAGAACCTTCTGGTGCTGGTATGCAGACCCAGCAGAGCGGCGCGGCTCCATGAATGAAGCTTTGAAAAGTTAATGAGACACCAGAGGCTGAACCAACCGGCGCGGATCAGACGCCATGAATTTAGCATGAGGGTCTGGCGGTTCTGAACCTTCATGGTCAATAGAAAGCGGGCCTGGGCAGGTCCTGCTGGGTCAGCAGTCTGAAGGTCGGCTGTCAGGGAGGGTCAGTGTCTGAGGGAAAACGTGTCGTCCTGCAGAGAATCCTGCTCCGGTCATCAAGCTGAAAAATCGCTGCCCAGGCACGGCTGACGTGCACGGCTCACATGCACGGCTCACATGCACGGCTCACAGGCACGGCTCACGTGCACGGCTGATGTGCACACTCCCTTCAGTCGTTGTGCAGTGAGGCAGTGATGCAGTGATGCATGGCTGCGCCTGAAAAGCCTCTTCCTCCTGAGGACAGGACAGTGATGAAGCTGCAGCTCTGCTTCTGACCCGTCTGAAGGCCCGGTGGACCGGTTCTATAAAAGCCCAGTGAGAGGGCATGAGTCCAACAGAACCAGACTCCAGTCTCTTGACTGAGGAAACATGAAGACATCTGATCAGGCAGTGATTAATTAGCCTGGAGGACCTGCAGCTTCTTCTTCTGCTCCTTGGAGGACCACTAACACCTGGACCACCGGTTCTGTTCAGGTGGCTGAGAGCAGTCAGACTGTGGTACCGCTGCTGAGGACCCGTCTGTTCTTCACCTAAACCAGAACTTAACCCTTTTGGACCAGAACCCTTTTAGAACAGAACCCAGCAGGTATACTCAAATAGACCCTCTACCAGGTCATCAACCAGTAACCTGACTAAACACGGCTACTCAGTAGTTAACCAGAACCAACCAGTGAAACCAGTATACTTAGGGTCCATTAGAACCATCTAGTGGTCAGTCTGAGGCACTACAATAACCCAGTATATCTGACTGGAAGGAACACAACATTACAATGGGTAACTGGATCACACCTGTCTGGTATCTGGTCCTATCTGGATCACACCTGTCTGGTATCTGGTCCTATCTGGATCACACCTGTCTGGTACCTGGTCCTAACTGGATCACACCTGTCTGGTACCTGGTCCTAACTGGATCACACCTGTCTGGTACCTGGTCCTAACTGGATCACACCTGTCTGGTACCTGGTCCTAACTGGATCACACCTGTCTGGTAACTGGTCCTAACTGGATCACACCTGTCTGGTAACTGGTCCTAACTGGATCACACCTGTCTGGTACCTGGTCCTAACTGGATCACACCTGTCTGGTACCTGGTCCTAACTGGATCACACCTGTCTGGTACCTGGTCCTAACTGGATCACACCTGTCTGGTACCTGGTCCTAACTGGATCACACCTGTCTGGTATCTGGTCCTAACTGGATCACACCTGTCTGGTATCTGGTCCTAACTGGATCACACCTGTCTGGTACCTGGTCCTAACTGGATCACACCTGTCTGGTAACTGGTCCTAACTGGATCACACCTGTCTGGTACCTGGTCCTAACTGGATCACACCTGTCTGGTATCTGGTCCTAACTGGATCACACCTGTCTGGTACCTGGTCCTAACTGGATCACACCTGTCTGGTACCTGGTCCTAACTGGATCACACCTGTCTGGTACCTGGTCCTAACTGGATCACACCTGTCTGGTACCTGGTCCTAACTGGATCACACCTGTCTGGTACCTGGTCCGAACTGGATCCCACCTGTCTGGTAACTGGTCCTAACTGGATCAAACCTGTCTGGTACCTGGTCCTAACTGGATCACACCTGTCTGGTACCTGGTCCTAACTGGATCACACCTGTCTGGTACCTGGTCCTAACTGGATCACACCTGTCTGGTACCTGGTCCGAACTGGATCCCACCTGTCTGGTACCTGGTCCTAACTGGATCAAACCTGTCTGGTACCTGGTCCTAACTGGATCACACCTGTCTGGTACCTGGTCCTAACTGGATCACACCTGTCTGGTATCTGGTCCTAACTGGATCACACCTGTCTGGTACCTGGTCCTAACTGGATCACACCTGTCTGGTACCTGGTCCTAACTGGATCACACCTGTCTGGTAACTGGTCCTAACTGGATCACACCTGTCTGGTAACTGGTCCTAACTGGATCACACCTGTCTGGTACCTGGTCCTAACTGGATCACACCTGTCTGGTATCTGGTCCTAACTGGATCACACCTGTCTGGTACCTGGTCCTAACTGGATCACACCTGTCTGGTATCTGGTCCTAATTGGATCACACCTGTCTGGTACCTGGTCCTAACTGGATCACACCTGTCTGGTACCTGGTCCTAACTGGATCACACCTGTCTGGTAACTGGTCCTAACTGGATCACACCTGTCTGGTAACTGGTCCTAACTGGATCACACCTGTCTGGTACCTGGTCCTAACTGGATCACACCTGTCTGGTATCTGGTCCTACCTGGATCACACCTGTCTGGTATCTGGTCCTACCTGGATCACACCTGTCTGGTTTCTGGTCCTACCTGGATCACACCTGTCTGGTATCTGGTCCTACCTGGATCACACCTGTCAGGTACCTGGTCCTAACTGGATCACACCTGTCTGGTATCTGGTCCTAACTGGATCACACCTGTCTGGTATCTGGTCCTACCTGGATCACACCTGTCTGGTATCTGGTCCTACCTGGATCACACCTGTCTGGTTTCTGGTCCTACCTGGATCACACCTGTCTGGTATCTGGTCCTACCTGGATCACACCTGTCAGGTACCTGGTCCTACCTGGATCACACCTGTCTGGTATCTGGTCCTACCTGGATCACACCTGTCTGGTACCTGGTCCTAACTGGATCACACCTGTCTGGTATCTGGTCCTAACTGGATCACACCTGTCTGGTACCTGGTCCTAACTGGATCACACCTGTCTGGTATCTGGTCCTAACTGGATCACACCTGTCTGGTACCTGGTCCTAACTGGATCACACCTGTCTGGTACCTGGTCCTAACTGGATCACACCTGTCTGGTACCTGGTCCTAACTGGATCACACCTGTCTGGTACCTGGTCCTAACTGGATCACACCTGTCTGGTACCTGGTCCTAACTGGATCACACCTGTCTGGTACCTGGTCCTACCTGGATCACACCTGTCTGGTACCTGGTCCTACCTGGATCACACCTGTCTGGTTCCTGGTCCTACCTGGATCACACCTGTCTGGTACCTGGTCCTACCTGGATCACACCTGTCTGGTTCCTGGTCCTACCTGGATCACACCTGTCTGGTATCTGGTCCTAACTGGATCACACCTGTCTGGTATCTGGTCCTAACTGGATCACACCTGTCTGGTTTCTGGTCCTACCTGGACCACACCTGTCTGGTTTCTGGTCCTACCTGGATCACACCTGTCTGGTACCTGGTCCTAACTCGATCACACCTGTCTGGTATCTGGTCCTAACTGGATCACACCTGTCTGGTATCTGGTCCTAACTGGATCACACCTGTTTGGTATCTGGTCCTAAATGGATCAGACATGTCTGGTATCTGGTCCTAACTGGATCACACCTGTCTGGTACCTGGTCCTAACTGGATCACACCTGTCTGGTATCTGGTTCTAAGTTCCCCTTCTGTCCCCCCTCCCATGGCGTACCTGTAGGGCATGCTGCTCTGCTCCAAGGTGATGGCACACTCCTTCAGGTAGATCTCCAGCCTCCGTCTCTCCATGAGTCTCCTGGCAGCCTCCAGGATCTGAGAGGCCAGCTCCATCTCCTCCTTCTCCTTTGCCTCCTTGTCCCTCAGATCCTTCTCCTTTGCCTCCTTCCTCCTGTTGCTGTTCTCCTGCTTGGCAGAGGTTCCTCTGTTCACCTTTGGCTTCTTGGTGAACCCGTACAGCTCCTCCACGGTGAACTTCCCAGCTTTCCCTCCAGTCATGGCAGCCGATGGTCCTGCAGCTCCAGCTGCTGATGCTCGACCAGCAAACATGGTCTAACCTGGGTGTAAAGAAGGACATTAGCCCCTGTCCTCTCTGAACCTGTCCCAGTTCCCTTGGTGGTACCTGCTGGTGTCCCTGCTGTGGTCTCTGTAGAAGAAGTCCAGAATAACCTGGTCCCAGTCCCTTTGGCAGCGTCCTTGCCGTTCTCTTCGTTTCCATCCACCTTCCTCTGCCTCTGGCCGTCTTTGCTGCAGATCCAACGTTAATCCTGTTGCTCTAATCCCACCAATCAGGGCCCAGATGTCTCCGATTTAAACCCAAACTCTGAGAGCACAGTATGGACCTGGCCTCCTGCCCGCTCTGAGGACCACGGACCGACCCTGGATGATGAGCAGCAGCAGATTAAAGCTGCCCTCTGATTGGTTCTTAATATCATGGTAGGATTTGTGACCCATCAGGGAGGTGCTGTCTGACAGCAGCTGGTCCGTTTGGACCCAAACTGTTCATCCGGAACCAAACAAACCATTAAATGGATCATTTTATTCTGCTTTATTAAGATAAGAACCTGAACATGTCAATCCAAACAGAGGCCCTGAGAGAACATCTCTGGATCTGTGAGGATCTACAGCTTTGTCTTCTAAGTTCTACTGGACCCACCCATTTGTCTACCCAGGTCCACCCAGGTCTAACTGGTCTCTCTTGGAAACCAGGGTTTGTGGTTCTAATTAAGCTGGGCTTAGGGACATTGGTGGTTCTGGACTCTTTAGGTTCTGATGAGATCAGATTATTCACCACATTAAATGTGACGTCATCCAGGAAATACTTTCCTAACCATATAGAACTCTGGACCAGGTTCTGACACCTGAAGGGTCACGTCTGGACCTGGACCTGAGTGACTGGACCTGATCTGATGGTCTGGACCTGACCCGACCATCTGGACCTGACTTGAAAGGAAGATTCGTTTGGAGAAGATCCAGGACCAGTGGGAGCTAGTTCAAGGTTAGCTGGACCAGCTACAGCGATCTTTGAGTATCTTCTCTGAGTGTCTACAGTCCTGTACCAGTGTCCAAATGTCCTCTATGAGTGTCTACAGTCCTGACCCTGTGTCCAAATGTCCTCCATGAATGTCTAAAGTCTTGAACCAATGTCCACATGTCCTCTAGGAGTGTCTACAGTCCTGACTTGGTGTCCACATGTCCTATGAGTGTCTACAGTCCTGACCCGGTGTCCACATGTCCTATGAGTGTCTACAGTCCTGACCCGGTGTCCACATGTCCTCTATGAGTGTCTACAGTCCTGACCCCGTGTCCAAATGTCCTCTATGAGTGTCTACAGTCCTGACCCTGTGTCCAAATGTCCTCTATGAGTGTCTACAGTCCTGACCCAGTGTCCGCATCACCTGTGTCTCCTAGTTGATGTCCACATGTCCTCTATAAGTGTCTACAGTCCTGACCCAGTGGCCACATCCCCTGTGTCTCCTAGTTGATGTCCACATGTCCCCTAGGAGTGTCTACAGTCCTGACCCCGTGTCAATATGTCCTCTAGGAGTGTCTACAGTCCTGACCCGGTGTCCACATCGCCTGTGTCTCCTAGTTGATGTCCACATGTCCTCTCTGTCTACAGTCCTGACCCGGCGTCCAGTTTACGTCCACATGTCCTCTCTGAGCGTGTGCTCTTCAGCCAGCTGTGAGCAGCAGCTGTTCCTCTCAGATTAGACCAGATTATATCGGTGCCTGGATTATTCTGCCGACCCAAACAGCGAATGTTCATCTGAGATGAGCAGCAGAACTCTGTCCATGCCTGTGGTTCCAGGTTGGTTCTGCTTTGACCCACAGCAGGAGCATCTGGGTCAGAGGTTCTGCAGAATCTGCCTCTGGACTCAGGATTAGGGATTAATCCAGCTGTTAATCTGCCCTGATGAGAGACGGACCTCTGACCCGTTACATCACCACCACCCTCCTGTCTGCAGCCGGACCGGGCCGGTACCTAGAACCGTTCTGACTGCTAACACATTGAGAGCCATGAACAGACTTTCTAACCAATAGACCCAACGAGAACCTGGTTGGTTGAGGGAACCTGAACTCCACTGACCCGGTTCTGGTCCTGATGAACACCTGGGCTGGTCCAGTCGGTTCCTCCTGACACCAGCTACTCAGAACCTGATGGACGTTGAGCTCAGTCCTCCACAGGAACCATTAGGACCAGTCAGCAGAAGCAGCGGGTCCCCAGCCTCCTGCTGAGGTTGGTTCTGGTGCCTGGTTGGGTTCAGTTCTTTCTTGGTTCTGGAATGAGAACATTTCCCTGCAGCAGCAACACTTCATGGACTAATGACCACAGAACCACTGGACCCAATCAGAACTTTTATTGAACAGACAGATTCTAATAAAAAACAAAACCAGACAATAAATAAAGGAGGTCCGGTCCGAACGCCTGGCCCTCGTTCCGTTCTCTGGTCTCTGAGGGATCCAGGATGTGGGCGGAGCTGGATCAGGATTCTGGAGCGGTAGAGCGTGGCGTGGTGCGTTCAGGCGGCTCTGGGGCTGTAGTACGGCAGAGACCTGATGAAGGAGTCCAGCCTGCTGCTGAACAGCTCGCTGTCCAGCGTCTGGGAGGACGGACACAGCGGGTTCTTCACGATCAGCTCCACGTACAGCTGGAACACAGACGGTACCGTCAGAACCAGAACTCCTGCCTCACGGCTATGATAGAGGCTCTAATCAACCCCTGAGTTCTGATGGACTGAAGGTTCAGAACCTTTCCTCAGGCGGTCCCCAGGTTCTGGAACCGCCCAGATTTACAAATCAGAACCGCTCAGTCTGTTGATCCATTTATTTTCTGCTTAGAACTCTTTTCTGCTGAGTGGCTGCTCTGACTGGTTCTGGTTCTGCTTTAGTTATTTGGGTCAGAAGCGGTTCTTCTCTAGATGTTCTACCAAAAACAAATGCTCTGGGGAACAATCACCTTATAGGACCTAAACAGGAAGCTGAAAAGAATTCAACCTGTGGCACCCATTTTAACCCATTATCTGTCCACAGCCTCAAACAGTCCCACTCCAAACCCAACCATGGCCGAGACACACAGGTAACACACTACACCGAGAGGGACTCGGATCCTGCAGTGCCAGACGTGTCCCCCTGGTGGAGACAGTACATGTCCACCCCCACCTGAAGTTTTCCAGAGAGCCTTTGGATGATCCAGAAGAGGACGGGGAGAATATGATGTGGTCAGATGAAACTAAAATAGAACTTTTTGGTAAAAACTTGCCGTGTTTGCAGGGAGAAGAATGCAGGCTGCATCCCAAGAACGCCATACCTACTGTGAAGCATGGGGGAGGAAACATCATGCTTTGGGGCTGTTTTTCTAAGGACAGGAAAACTGATCCGTGTTGAGGGAAGAATGAACGGGGCTGTGGAGCTGGAGATTTTAAGCCAAAACTTCCTTCCATCGGTGAAACATGGCTGGATCTTCCAGCATGACGATGATGCCAAACACATCGCCCCGGCAACGGAGCAGTGGATCCGTAGAAAGCATCTGAAGGTCTGTAGAGGGACTGTTACCCAGCGACAGCCCCGAAACATCACTAGAGGAGATCTGCATGGAGGAATGGGCCAAAATACCAGCTACAGTGTGTTCAAACCTGCTGAAGACTTCCAGGAAATGTTGGACCTCTTGCCAGAAAAGGTTATGTTACAAAGTATTGAGTTAAACTTTAGTTATTGACCAAATACTTATTTTCCACCATCATTTGCAAATAAATTCTTTAAAAATGTGATTTTCTGGATTTTTTTTCTAATTTTGTCTCCCATAGTTAAAGTGTTTCCATGAAGGAAATGACCTATTTCATTATTCTAGGTAGGAGAACTAACAACCAGTGACTTTATACATCTAATCTGTCTGCATCTTCAAGTCAAATTCTTTTTAAACCTCCTTGGCAATAAACTGGATTCTGAACTAATCAGCAGATCTTCTGCCTCCATCATCATCATCATCATCATCATCATCATCATCATCATCATCATCATCCTCCTCAGTAGAGAAGCAGATCCTGACTCCATCACTGATGGATGATACCATCCTGGATCAGGTGCAGCTAACCCAGCTGAGCGGTTCTGACCGGGTACAGGGACAGGTTCTGGTTCTGGTGGAATAATCTGGGCCTTACGTTGCTGTAGATGTGCTGCAGCGTGTCTCTGGCGTTGCTCACGGACAGATCCGTGTTCATCACAAACATCAGGCCGCTCGCCGTCTCGTAGTAATGGAGGCGATACTTGCTGGTCTGGAAGGAGAGGAAGCCGTCCTTCCTGGGAGGAAGAGCGTTGCTAAGGACAACCGGCTGACAGGTGGGGACACATCAGGTAACCCCCCCCATGTCAAAGGTCAAAGGATACATGTCCTGAGGAGACATCTTACTGGCGAATGATCTGATGGAGAACAGCATGCCGTACATCAGCTTAAACTCCTGCAGAAACAAACACAGGATGATGTTTACTGCCTCTTTGTTTACTGCTCTGATTGGGTGTTTCTGGTGGTGACGTCACCTGCTCCTTAGAGATCCCCGCCTGCTTCTTCCGGTTCCACTCATTGTAAAACAAGCAGCTTCCATTCCGGTCAAATATGTAGAGATTATGAACCGTCATCTGGAGCATAATTCTCAGAGTTAATCCATAAATCAGAAACATTCTGACACAGAGATGCTGACTGTGAGCCGAATTAACGAGCAGCTTCTATAGATATACAGTAAATATAAAATACATGATTTACCTTATTATTGCCGTGTTTTATTTAAAGTTAGAATAACAAGTATTAAAATATGACAGTTTTTAAATAGAGTCTGGTCCGTTACGGCGATCAGCTGATCAAAAATGAAATAAACAGCAGAATTTAGGACCGATTTAACACCGCATACATTCAGGAAGGTCATAAAAATAAATCCCAAAAATAAAACTCAACAATAAACCTTAGAAACGATGTGAATCAGGCTGATTTAAATCAGGAACCGTGTTTACCTTCTCTTCCTGTCTTCGTCAGGACCCCATTGCACAGCTGTTCGCTTATATGCCGGACCCAAAACCTTTATATTGACATATCATTAAAGTTATAGTGGTATTTATAACAGATACTGTGAAATATTATCTAATGTAACATTTATCGCTTTATTTATGTTTTATTTGAGTTTTTTTAGAGCTCTCCGATTCAGGACCTGCTTCTCATAAATTATCTTCCGGTGATATTTACGAACACCTGATTCGCCTCTCAGTGTTGAGCAGATAGAAAGAAAAATGGCGGCCACAGCATCTATGATGCCGATCTTTCAGCAGCAGATTTCCTCTAAAAACGACCTGGTTCCGAACTGGACCAGTGAAGAAGTCAGCACCGGGGTAGGTACCAGTCAGATGGACCGGTTTGGGTCCAGCTGGGCTCGGTTCGGTTCTTAGTTAGAACGGTTTTAAGTCAGAAAGTGTGTCAGAATGAGACAGCACATCCGCTGCAGCTAGCTGTGGCTAATGCTAGCTCCCGCTGCTCTGCTGGATCATTGTGGTGTTTTCTTTCCCACTGATAGGTGTTCCGCTCCTGTTGGTTACCATTTTATTTAATTTAACTCCATGTATGCTGGTAGGATCAGAAGGTGCCGTTAGCTGGAGGCTGTCCGATAATAGAAGCATGATGCTCCTGATCTCTAACAATCAGATCCAGCTAACGGTGACCAGAGCAGAGTGTTTCCATCATCGGACAGACTAACACCAGTGTCTCTGTGTCTCAGACCACCATCATGGCGGTGGAGTATGATGGAGGAGTAGTGATCGGAGCGGACTCACGGACCACCACAGGGTGAGGAGGTTAGCCCTACTGCTGCAAGCTGCTAGCTGGTTCCAGGTGACCTCACCTGTCTGTCTGTCTGTCCCACAGGGCTTACATCGCCAACAGAGTGACGGACAAACTGACCCGGATCCACGACCGGATCTACTGCTGCAGGTGGGTTCTGGTTGGTTCTGATGGATGGGTGGGTTCTGGTTGGTTCTGATGGATGGGTGGGTTCTGGTTGGTTCTGATGGATGGGTGGGTTCTGGTTGGTTCTGATGGATGGGTGGGTTCTGGTTGGTTCTGATGGATAGGTGGGTTCTGGTTGGTTCTGATGGATGGGTGGGTTCTGGTTGGTTCTGATGGATAGGTGGGTTCTGGTTGGTTCTGATGGATGGGTGGGTTCTGGTTGGTTCTGATGGATAGGTGGGTTCTGGTTGGTTCTGATGGATGGGTGGGCTCTGGTTGGAGCTGGATGACACCCTGAGAGTTACTAACCCTAGAGACAGAGAGAGATTCCATTTATCTTTTCTCAAACCATCTGTGGGATTAATTTCTTCTTATCTTCATCGATGGTGTTGGATCCAGTTAGAAATAGTTGAATTAGCAGGTGTGAAATGTCTGTTCCCTCTCCTGCTTCTCTACCCTGGAGGATGAACCCCTCTTTACTGATGGATCCATCTTTTATTGACCACATCACAGCTTCTTTCTGGACACTAATTAGACCCCAGATGTCATCCTGGGAGACGCTGAAGCTTTTATTAGAGGTGTCATATCGTCCACCACAGCTCAGATGAAAGCTGCCATTAAAGAACAGTCACACCTAGAAAGAACAATACGACAGGCAGGGCTGACATTTAAAAATACACACTGATGAATAAACAACAATTAATCATATATACTGCTCTCTGCGTCATCGTCCACCATGGTTGTTGTTTTCTTGCAGCTTCTTCACAGCAGACCCAGAATAGTTGCCTTTGTTGGGTATTAATGGCGTTCAGGTGGGATGAATGCCACCTGGCCGTTCAGACACAGGTTGCATTCAGATCAGATTCAGAACCACGGAGCCACGTAGCCTGGGTCGCTTTGAAACAAATCAGATCTGTGTGGTTCACACTGTCAGGAAAACATCAGATCCAGGTCGCATATAGGGCTGGGTATTGTTCAGACATGTTCGGTTCCAATACTGATACCTTCACTTCGATACCGGTTCCTGAACCATACTTTTTTCGATACCAGTTTTATAATATCAATTCGAAGAAAAAGAAAATTACACAACATAAAAAAGTACAAATCTTGAGTTTTATTTTAAGCTTTTTTAAGCTTTAACATTTTTCCTCTTACATAAAATAAATTTTTCAGTGAAGAAGAAAAGTTGCAAACAAGTCAGTGTCTAATATTCACTGTTACATTGTGAGGACCTTTTTACTCAGCAGTTTTCCTTCAGAAAAATGACCATGTCTGACAAACCAGCCCGTTGAATGGGATCCAACTGACAGCGCACCGCTGGTATGGGGGGGTCTGAGCAGCTCCGAAAGCAATATTGGAAGGCAGGATGAACTGACTGCACTGATTAAGTTTTCAGGTGGATTTTCCCAATTAAAAACATAATAAAACTACTTTATTCCCACTGATCACAGCAAATATAGCTGCAAGGCAGAGAAAGGATAGTGAAGCTCCGCCCAACGCGCGTCAGAGCCACTTTTCTACCGCGCAGCCAGAGCAGCAAAGCTGCTTCAGCCGTGCGTCAGAACTAACTGGTACAAGCAGCAAAAATGAAGCAGCAGACGTGATTTTGCTGCTCCTGCTGCGTCCGGTTTGAAAGCAGCATGATTCACTCCGCTCTGGCTTTGCTCCGCCCACGGGCTGCTGAGAGGAGGATGGTGGCGCCGGCTGCGGTCCGCTCTTCTTGCAGTCAAACACCGAGCAACTTTCTGCTCTTAAATTGTTTCCGTGCTCGATGTATTGCATTGCGCACTATTGGCATCAGTGTTAATAAAGTGAAGCCGCACTTTTGACCTGGGGGGCATTTTAAAGGGGTTCCACGGCGCTGCAACCAGTTCACAACAGATACACATGAACCCTGGCTGTAGGCGGGACCACCTGTGGATTTTTCCTGGATGACGCAATCAGTGTTACAGCCAATCACCGAAACTTGGTACCGAAAGACGAGGCATGTTTGATACTCTGTAGAACCGAAGCATTTCGGTCGGTACCATAAAAGAACCGATGTTCGGTACCCAGCCCTAGTCGCATATGGGCCAGAAAAACCAGATCTGGGTCACTTCAGGCTGCAGAGTGAACATAGCCTGAGCCACCTAGTGGTAGAACCCCGTACTGACATGTTTAGACACTGGGTTGGACGTGGAGAACCTGCTGCCAACACTTCACCTGACGAACATCCTTTATCCTTAGAAAGGATCAACCATCAGACCTCTGAGGCTCACATCCACCTATTAGCCTGATTAGGGTGGATGGTTAGCTGCTCTCTAGATTACAGGCAAGGAGGCTTTCCTGAGAAATCCAGATCAGACTGGGTTTGTTTTTTATTTGTTTATAAAGCGGAGCGCTCTTTTTCTTCTTTGTCTGTTTAAAAAGTGGGTTAGGGTTAGCATTGGTTAACGCTACCTTGCTTTAGCTCAGCAGTGGCTATCTAACGCTAGCTCTGCTGGATCTGTGTGTTCTGGTGGGTTGGTGGATTTTGGTGGATCTGTAGGTTCTGGTGGGTTCTAATGGGATCTGGTGGGTCAGTGCCGGTGGTTCTTGCTGAAGGTGAAGATTCTGATAGAGAGTAAGCCTGGTGCTCCTGTCAGAGGACAACCAAGGTACCGGTTCTGGTCCAGAGTTCTGATCTTTCCAGCAGAACCAGCTGCTGTCTCTCCAGCTGGATCAGAACCCTGGTGTCGGTCCGTGTAGACCAGAACCAGGCTGCTCGGTGGTTATTCCTCAGCCTGTTTGGGTCACAGCACCCAGTGGGATCCATCAGAACCGGTCCAGAAGGTCCAGGTCTACTCTGTTTACTGGTTCTGTGGTTCTGTTCCAGGTCCGGTTCTGCTGCAGACACCCAGGCCATCGCTGAGGTGGTCTCCTACCAGCTGGGCTTCCACAGGTACCGGTCTGCGTGTTCCTCTGGTCCTGCTGGGTCTGGGGGGAGGTTCTGACTGGTTCTGGTTCTGTCCCGCAGCATAGAGCTGGATGAGCGCCCTCTGGTGGAGACGGCGGCCAACCTGTTCAGAGCGAGCTGCTACCGCTACAGGGAGGAGCTGATGGCGGGGATCCTGGTAGCTGGCTGGGACCGCAGGAAGGGGGGCCAGGTGGGTTCCTGAGGTTCTAGCGGTTCTACGGGTCGCGGGTCGCTCTGACTCTGCGTCTGTCTCCCAGGTGTACTGCGTTCCTATCGGAGGGATGCTGGTCCGTCAGCCCGTGGCGGTGGGCGGCAGCGGCAGCAGCTACATCTACGGCTACATGGACTCCAACTACAAACCGGGTCTGGACAAGAACCAGTGCCTGGAGCTGACGGCCTCAGGTAGGCTGGTGCTGCAGCAAGGCATGCTGGGAGCTGGAGTCCCCCTCTCACCTCTGCCTCTCTTCCAGCTCTGGCCCTGGCCATGGAGAGGGACGGGTCCAGCGGCGGCGTCATCCGACTGGCCAGCATCTCCGAGGACGGCGTGGAGAGACGGGTTCTGCTGGGAGACCAGCTGCCCCGCTTCTCCACCCACTGAGCGCGCTCTGTTTACGTTACAGCTGATAATAAAGGTTCTGTTCATGACTCTGCTGTCTCCGCCTCTCTGTCTCACCCCGTCCAATGGCCTGGACCATGGTCCGTCGGTCGTAGACCTGGTCTGATGCTGATAGCTCAGACAGGGAACGCAGACCAGATCTCTGAGATAGAATGATGAAAAAGGGGTCCCTATGTCCTCCAGCAGTCTGAGCCTATAGCAGCAGAACTATAGAGATAGAATGAAGCAGAATGATGAAAAAGGGGTCCCTATGTCCTCCAGCAGTCTGAGCCTATAGCAGCAGAACTATAGAGATAGATCAGGATAACCTGAGGGTTTGGAGGAGGAAGAACAGCTGTTCCTCAGATGAAAGAAGGGAATTCTAGAAACCTCTTTGATCTGGGATTTAAATGACAGGTCCTGATCAAAAACAACACCAAGAT